TATAGGCTTCTACTTTAGATGTTACACGTGGAAGAATCTTAGGTTCATAATTTTAGGACTTATATGTGAAAAGGTCTCTGTTTACAGTTTCAGGAATCACATATGAAAGGGTTCCGGTTTACAGTTTTAAGACTTACATGTGAAAAGGTTTCTGGTTTGATCTTGTTTTAAGTAAAAATAGCACCTTCTGGAGAGTTTCCCCAAGGCCTAGCCTGTTGTTTTCAGGAAGGAGATTCAGGAGGCACCAGCTGGCCTGCTCTCTCTTTTATTGAGATGCACAGTGGATGACAGAGGGGGAGGGAACCCCAAATGCCTGGGTCTCCCTCCTCAGTTGCTGCACAGTGCCTCTGGTAAATAAATGTCAAATGCTCGCATATTACAGTACCAGAGTCTGCTGTTGGATCAGCCTCACCTAACTTTCTCCCTCACAAGGTGTTTAAATCCAGCCACTCTACTCCCTAATCCAAATTTAACTGTACCTGTCCATGACTGCCAAGAGCTGTTAAAGACTGGGAAAACTGGATGTTCCCCTGGAGAAGGCAGATGCCACCAAATTTACAAACGGTAGCAGCTTCCTTAAGCAGGGAGTGCAAAAAGCCGGTGCTGCCGTCACACCCACTGTGGGCCCAGGCTCTGCCAGCTGGAACTTCTGCACAAAAGGCTAAATTAATTGCCCTCACTCAGGCCCTCCAGTGGGGTAAGGACAAATGCATTAACATCTATACCTACAGCCAGTATGCTTTTGCCACTGTACATGTTCATGGAACTATTTACCAGGAGAGTGGGCTACTGAATTCTGGCCCTGCTCGAGGCCATTTGGCTTCCCCTCTAGATGGCTGTAATCCACGGCAAGGGGCATCAAAAGGAAAACACAGCCACTGCCCAAGGAAACCAAACGGCCAACTCTGCTGCCCAAGAGTCAGCCTGGCTTCCAGTCACCCCTTTAACCCTATTACCTACTGTATCTTTCCCACAGCCTAATTTACCTGATCATCCAGTCTACTCTCCAAAAGAAAAAAAAGCAAGCATCAAATCTTCAGGCTAGTAAAAACTGGGATGGATGGTGGATTCTCCCGGATTCCAAAATTTTCTCGCCCCGTGCCCTCAGTGAAGCTTTAGCTGGTCACCTCCGGGCATGCAGCCCAGAAGAAAGATAGGAAGTAAACTTCACAGAAATAAAGCCACACTGGGCGGGATACAAGTATCTCCTGGTAACGGTAAACACTTTTTCTGAATGGACTAAAATATTTGCCACCAGAAACAAAACTGCCTCTACTGTAGTTAAATTTCTTTGGTTTTTTTTTTTTTGAGACGAAGTTTCGCTCTTGTTACCCAGGCTGGAGTGAAATGGCGTGATCTGGGCTCACCACAACCTCCGCCTCCTGGGTTCAAGCAATTCCCCCGCCTCAGCCTCCTGAGTAGCTGGGACTACAGGCACGCACCATCATGCCCAGCTAATTTTTGTATTTTTAGTAGAGACAGGGTTTCACCGTGTTGACCGGGATGGTCTTGATCTCTTGACCTCGTGATCCACCCGCCTTGGCCTCCCAAAGTGCTGGGATTATGGGCGTGAGCCACTGCGCCTGGCCAAATTTCTTACTCAGTAAAATCATCCCTCAATATGGGCTGTCGTTTGCTACAAAATCTAATAATGGGTCAGCCTTCACCTTGCCCATAGCTCAATACCTCAGAGCTCTGGACAGGTAGAATGCATAAATCAAACCTTAAAAAGTACTCTTACAAAATTAATCTTGGAAACTGGTAAAGGTTAAACAAACCTCCTTCCTTTAGCCTTTCTTAAAGTTAATTTCACCTCTTACAAGGCGGGGTTTTCCCCCTTTAAAATCATGTGTGGGAGGGCTCTGCCTATCTTGCCTAAGCTAAGGAATACCCATCTAGCAGAAATATCCCAAGCTAGGTCCGGCGCGGTGGCTCACGCCTGTAATCCCAGCACTTTGGGAGGCCGAGGCGGGTGGATCACAAGGTCAAGAGATCGAGACCATCCTGGTCAACATGGTGAAACCCCGTCTCTACTAAAAATATAAAAAATTAGCCTGGCATGGTGGTGCCTGCCTGTAATCCCAGCTACTCAGGAGGCTGAGGGAGGAGAATTGCCTGAACCCAGGAGGCAGAGGTCGCAGTGAGCCGAGATAGCGTCATTGCACTCCAGCCTGGGTAACAAGAGCGAAACTCCATCTAAAAAAAAAAAACAGAAATATCCCAAGCTAATTTGTTACAGTATCTGCAGTCTCTCCAACAGGTTCAAGACATCATCCAGCCATGCATCCAGGGAGCACACCCTAATCCAGTTCCTGACCAAATTGGGCCCTGCTGCACTTTCCATCCTGGTAACCTGGTGTATGTCAAAAGCTTCCCAAAAAAGAACTCACTCCTGCTTGGAAAGGACACTCTCCTGTTCCCTTCACTAGGGGACATTGCAGGAAATGCCATCTGTCTAATTAGCAATGGGTATAATCTATCTGCTTCTCCTTTTAACCAATCTCTACTTACTGCCCTAAACCCCTCAGTCTCCTACCAGGCACCTAGCAATACCTGGCTGGCCTGTACCTCAGGCCTCCCCCGCTGCATCAATGGGACTGAACCTGAACCTCTTCAGTGCGTGTTGGTTCATGTGCTTCCCCAGGTCTATGTGTACAGTGGACCAGAAAAACAACTTCTCATCTCTCCCCACGAACTGCATTCCAGGACCCGACGAGCAGTTCCATTCCTTGTATCCCTCCTGGCCAGCATCAGCGTAGCTGGGTCAGCAACTATCGGTACTGCTGCCCTGGTCTGAGAAGAAACTGGACTAATGTCCCTATCTCAACAAGTAAATGCTAATTTAAAAAATCTCTAGTCAGCCATAAATATGTTACATATCCAGGTAAAATCCCTAACTAAAGTTGCTCTCCAGAAGCACCGTGGACAGCGTTGGGGTGAAGCTGTTTTTATGCTAACCAGTCCGGAGTCATAATGGACATTCTTCACAGGTTCAAAAGAGTTTAAATAAACGCCAGCAAAAGTGGGGGAAAAAAACCCCATGGTACCAAAGCATGTTTAACTGAATCCCATAGCTAACTATTTTGATAACTGGGCTAGCAAAACCTCTTCTTCTCCTCCTGTTAGGCTTAATCTTTGGGCCCTGTATACTAAACTGGCTCCTGGCTTTCATAAGGCAGCGTGTAAATTCTGTCAAACTTAGGGATCTCAAAAGCCACTGTAACCTCCTTGTTGTAACTGAAGAGTCAATGCTTTGACTCTCCAAAAACACAAGTGGGGAATGTAATAACCTAGCCTGTGTTATCCTAACTGACTCCATCTTGGTGGTAGGCTCCAGCTTGGCTTCCCCGTCCCTGCCTTAGCCCCCTCAGTTGCATTACTGGGTCACGCTGCACTCAAAGCTTTAAACTGTTAAGAGTGCTTCACATTGTTCACAGTATCTGTACCACTGTAACCGCATCCTGCTTCACAAGTCTGCCCGCTATTGTGAATACCTTCCTTGGTGATTGATTGTATGAAAAGTTCCCCCTGCTAACCCCCTTGATAATTGTATAAAAGTACCCTTAGCAATCCTGGGTACCTGCTGCTCCCTGGTTCTAACTTGCTTGTTCTGCTTCTGTAAAATTCCGCTTCAGCTAGGCTCTCCCTCCCCTACCTAAATCAAGGTCTAAAAGATAAGCCTCTTCCTCTGGGATGAAAGAATTTTAAGCGTTAGCCATCTCTTGGTCCCTGGCAATAAAGGACTCTCAATTTAAAACTCAGAGCATGGCATTTCTTCTATAACTCACTTAAATACAACAATATGACTATTCATTTGTATCCTTTATAATAAAAAAGTAATAGTAAGTAAGCACTTTTCTGAGTTCTGTGAGTCATTGAAGTGAATTACTCAGTCTGGGGTGGGGTCATGGGAAACCCCTGAATTTGTAGCCAAGTCAGACAAACTTGTGAATAACCTGATGATCCCACTTGCGGCTGGCATTTGAATTAAGGGCAGTCTTGGGGATGTTTTGTTTTAACTCATGGGACCTGACACTAACGCCACGTAGTTAGTGTCAGAGTTGAATTGAATCGTAAAACACTCAGCTGGTGTCAGAGAATTAGTGTCAGACACAGTAAGTGTAGCACTTACTTGAGTTCAGCAAGCTGTTCTAGTGAGTTGCCAAGCCTGAAGGAGTAGTGGGGACACCAAAATCTGCAGACAGCTGGAGTGAGGAAGGCCTGGGGACCCCTTAACTTGAGACTGCTCTCATGGAGGATGATGCCCTTTGTGGTGGAACTTGGCCAAACTCCCGGCAGTTGGTGACAGAGCTCTACTGTGGAACATTGTCCACCATAGAAAGGGAAGAAGTACTGAGACATGCTATAACTGAAAACATTATGTTAAGTGGAAAAAAACAGACGCAAAGGCCACTCAGTATATGATTCTATTTATATGAAATGTTAGAATTGGCAAAACTGTAAAGGCAGAAAACAGATGAGTGATTGCTTAGGGTTGCAGGGTGCAGTGGGTTTGAGGTAGAGAGCTAGTAGCTAAAGGGAACCAAATTTCCTTATAATGTGATAAAAACATTCTAAAATTAACTGTGGTATATTGAACTAGTTATAGATGAAATACTAGGATGTCTGAGATTTGCTTCAAAATAATCCGCTGGGGTTGGGAGGAGAACAAAAGAAATAAGACTGGTCAGAATTTGGTAATTGCTGACGCTGGGTACCTGGAGGTTGATGATACTATTCTCTCCAATGTTAAACATGTTTGAACATTTTCATAAAAGGAAAAAAATGAAAGAATCCTATGCAATGTTCTCTCACAAGAGAAGGGAATGTCACTTCCCTTAGTATGTTACCAGGTCCAGAGCCACCCCTCCCCAGCCCTCAGATGGGATTCATGAATTATTGGGGGAAAGCTGAGAGGCTGAGAGGCCATGGACTGTGGAGAGGTGGTGACCGCAGGGTCTGGTTTGAGCCAGGCAGCTCAGCCTCCTTGATGGGCCCTCATGGTCTCTCGCAACCCACACGCCATGCTGACCGTGGTGGTAGAAGTGGAGTCGGGGAAGGGATCAGGTAAGAAGCCCGCCATGTTTGTACTCTAAGGAATGCAGCCCAGGAGACTCTCTTGGAAGAGGGGAGGGCTGGGCCAGCTTGGGTTGGAAAACTGAGGCAAAGGTTGAGGGCAGGACTCAGGAATCCTAGAGCCAGTTTTCCTTATGACAGCTGATATGAAGTCCTCCTTTCTCAGGCCCTGTGGATACCTGTAGCCCCACACTCCTGGTGGAGCCCACAAACATCCATTTGCTTCAGCTTGGGACTCTGGAGACTTAGGTGGATGTGCAGTGTGCGTCGGGGGGCAGGGGGGTAAAGGGGTGGGGCGGAGGGTGCAAGGGAAGATGGGAATATCACAGTTGACCCCAGCCCTGCCCACAGGAACAAAACTTCACCTTTGACAAAGTCCTGGGCCCTGATGCTGCTCAGGTAGGGAGTTCTGGGAGGGTGATGAGAGGAGGGTGCAAGCCCTCAGGCCCCTGGATCCTGGGGTACCGACTGCCTCCAGAGCTCCTTTGCTCAGGGCACCTGAGTCAGTGAAATGTGCCTGTATCTCCCTGCAGGAGGCAAAGCAGGAGCTGCTGGCACATGTCCAATCCACACTGGGCTCTGTGGGCCGAGGGTACAGTGTGGCCCTGTTGCTCCGAGGCAGGGAAACAGAGGCACCTCGACTCTTGCCTCAGGTGAGTCCCAGAGGAGCCACCAGGGCACAGGCCGCATGTGGCACAGGGATGACCTCTCCTAGAGACTTCTGAGAATCGTCCTTCTCCACGTCAGCTCTCAGTAGGGCTCCTACAGCAAGCACCCTGTTGGCCAAGGCAGGATGTTTTGCCAGGTTCAAATTACGCAGCTATTGGGAAGTCAAAGAAGGTGGAAAGGAGCCGGGTGCAGTGGCTCACACCTGTAATCCCAGCTCTTTGGGAGGCTGAGGTGGGTGGATCACCTGAGGTCAGGAGTTTGAGACCAGCCTGGCCAACATGGCAAAAACCCATATCTACTAAAAATTTAAAAAATTAGCTGGGTGTTGTGACAGGCAACTGTAATCCCAGCTTCTTGGGAGGCTGAAGCAGGAGAACCACTTGAATCCGGGAGGCAGAGGTTGCAGTGAGCCGGGATCATGCCACTGCACTCCAGCCTGGTTGATGAGAGCAAAACTCTGCCTCAAAAAAAGAAAAGCAAAAACAACAAAAAAATTTTTTCCTTGTTGCTGATATCCTTCCAATGAAAAAAATTTTTTAATGAAAAAATAAAATAAAGGAAGGTGGGAAACTGGCGCTAATAGGTTAAGGGTTAGAGAGGGGTGGCATGAAAAGATCAAATATCCAAGGAGATCTGATTTTCACAGTTCCTGGTAATACTAATGGTAAGCTTGGAAGTTTTATTGTGGGGACTTCATCAGAATGCCCCCAAATCAAAATAGCTGCCTCAGAACATGTCGTGAATCCCCGTGCAGCAAACAGCAGGTCCCACTGAGAATATCTGCTCACTTTCCAGCTTGCTGTGAACATGAAGACTGGTGCTATTTCTATCCTGGATGCCATGTCCCCAGTCTAGTGCATGACATGGACTTCGCTCTCAGGAAATGTTGAAGGACAGATTTATGCTTTCTTAATCCTCGTTGAACGCTTCTCCACTTTAGCTGTTGCAGATGCTGTTTGAGGAAGCTCTGCCCCAAAGCTGTTCTGATCCTGTGCTTAGCACTCTTAGCCTGGTGCAGGTGAGACCTTGCAGGAAGGGAGAGAGTGGGATCTGGGAACCAGGGCCAGGGCGGTGCTGCAGAAGGAGCCAAGGTTTGTGGGGAGCCAGAAAAACATGGGTCCAGCCTCACTCTGCTGCTCACCAGCGTGGGTGTACCTCTCTGAGGTCTCCTTTGCGAAAAGGCTGAATTCTTGGTGCCCTGTTTGGTCCCCAGGAAGATCATGTGAGCTGAAGGTAGGGAAAGGCTCAGTTTGTAACATGTGTGCTTGTGTGACCCCCAGTTCAGCCCCAGAGGAAGCACCCGGGACCTGCTCTCTCCAGGGGTGGAGAACCTGTCAGTGCTGGATGTGGCCCCTCTGGGCTTGTGAGTGTTCAGGGCCCAGTGGAGTCTGAGGGTGCTTGTCTTAAGGCACGGCTGCCTCCCCCAAGCTGAGCCTTTGGGGGTCTCCACCAACTGCCACCTCAGGGGAAGGAAGCTCTGAGCTTGGGGTCATGCTTACAGGGTCAGGAGCTGCTCTCAGGATCACCCCCAACCCTCTCACTCCCTTCACCCCACTTAATACCTCTTCAATTCACACCACCTCAATTCTATTCCCAGCCCCATGTCCCGACTTTGTCATTGTCACACCGGGTGATTTTGAGCATCTCACTGAGCAGGACTTCAGTTTCTCCATCTGTAAAATGAGAGTGATCCCAACTACCCTATTAACAGGAAGGAAAATAAAATCACGAGGATGAGAAACGTTTAGAGAAGTAGACTGAACCTGGAGCCTTTGGTTGATTCCTACAGGCTATGCGGACCTCCATGGGCTCCCCATGTAGAGGTTCTGGGGGGCTGGACAGAACCCTGTTACTTAGGAGCTAAGCTCAGCCTCCCCTTCCTCTAGGGTGGTAGAAGATGCCACTGAAGTGGAGGTGTCTGACTTAAGAGCTGCCTCAGATCTGTACTTGCAGCCCACAGTGGGTGAAGGCAGGTGAGGACAGGAGAGTATTTGTCACCCCATCCCCACTAGGCATTTGGCCTGAGTCCACTCTGTCTTCCACAGGGACTGCTGTCTGCTCACTCTCACCATGTCCTGCCGAAGGCCTGACCCTCCTGAGGGTCCCAGGACCCAGGGCGTGTGGCGAGGGGTCCTACAGATCCTGCAGCTCCCAGAAGCCCCGAAAGTCTGAGGGGGCCTTCTGACTGCATTGAGGGGTGAGGTGGGGAGCTGAATTATAGATGTAAAGGCCCAGGGTCTCATCAAAGTCTCTCCTGTCCTCAACCCCATAATAAGAGCATCCCAGAACACAAATTAAGCCTCATGGTTGGCAGATGATGTGGTCAAAAGCAACTGGATAGAAAAGTTAAACCAATAAATAAAAATAAATATTTCCTAGCTTGGCCAACCTGCCAAAACCCCATCCCTACAAAAATACCAAAAAAATTAGACAGGCATGGTAGTTCACATCTGTAATCCCAGCTACTCAGGAGGCTGAGGTGGGAGGACTGCTTGAGCCCAGGAGGTTGAGGCTGCAATGAGCCATGATCGCGCTATTGCACTACAGCCTGGGCGACAGAGTGAGTCTCAAATAAATAAATAAATATCTCCAGTCACTGTTTTCTGTTTTCATATGTTGATAAGTGCACTAGGGACAGTTTTGCAAATAGCATCTTCAAGCATTTTTAGATTTTTTTTTGTCTTCTACCACTTTTTAATTTTTACATTACTAATTCCTTTTCAGCTACTTATATCTCTTCTGATCTATTAGACTGAAAACTTGGAAAGAACCTAAATACTCAAAGCCAAGACCGGAAAATTCCCAAAAAATCATATCTTCATGTTCCACATTACATCCTTTGCTCAAAAGTTATGAAAATACAAAGTAATAACAGGAAATACTTATTTCAAATCAGCTCGTGAATTTGGTAATATCATGGAAATGTTGCCAAGTTCAGAAGTGCCTGAAAACAAATTACAGTAAAACAGAAAAGAATGGGAAAATGTATCCTAAATTCCAAACTATTCTAAAGTCTTTTCTTTCTTTTATCATGTATGTTTCTTTAAAACAAAAAGCTTTATTAACATATAATTTATACACCCTAACGTTCACTCTTTTGAAATGTACAATTTAAGGGTTTTTAGTACCTTCACAGGTTGTGTGTTGATCACCACTGTCTAATTTTAGAACATTTCATCACAGAAAGGAAACCTGTTCCCATTTGCAGGCATTCCTCATCCTGCCCCCAACTCCCGACCCAAGGCCATCACTAATCCATTTGCTGTCTCTGTAGATTTGCTACTCCAGGCTTTTCATGTAAATGAAGCCATACAATATGTGGTCTTTCTCTCTGGCTTCTTTCACTCAGCATAATGTTTAGGTTTATCCACTTGGGTGAATCAGAACTTTATTATTATTATTATTTTTTTTTTTTTAAGACAGAGTTTCGCTCTTGTTACCCAGGCTGGAGTGCAATGGTGCGATCTTGGCTCACTGCAACCTCTGCCTCCTGCGTTCAAGTGATTCTCCTGCCTCAGCCTCCCAAGTAGCTGAGATTACAGGAGCCCACCACCACGCCCAGCTAATTTTTGTTTTTTCAGTAGAGACAGGGTTTCACCATATTGGCCAGGCTGGTCTCAAACTTCTGACCTCAGGTGATCTACCCGCCTCAGTCTCCCGAAGTGCTGGGATTACAGGCATGAGCCACCACGCCTGCCCATGTTTTATAATCTTTCTTTCTCTCTTTATTAGAGATGTGGTCTCACTTTGTTGCTGAGGTTGCTCTCAAACTTCTGGCCTCAAGCGATTCTCGCATTGTAGATTCCCAGGCACTGGGATTACAGGAATGCACCACTAAACCCAACTACACTTTTGGTATTTTTAAATAATGTTGCTATGAACATTCACATGTAAGTTTTTATTTGGACATGTGTTTTCAGTTATCTCCGACATATACCAAAAGTGGTATTGCTGGGTCATATGGTAAGTGTTTTAAAAGTTGTTTGTATGATGTGCGCCTGTAGTCCCAGCCACTCGGGAGGTTGAGGCAGGAGAATTGCTTGAACCCAGGAGGCGGAGGTTGCAGTGAGCCGAGATCGTGCCATTGCACTCCAGTCTGGGTAACAACAGCGAAACTCCATCTCCAAAAAAAAAAAAAAAAAAAAAAAGTTGTTTGTATGTTTGTCTTTATTGAGATAAAGTCCGCATAATATAAAATTAACCATTAATCATTTTATAATGTACAATTTAGTGACTTCTAGTTCATTCACAATGTTGTGGAACCACCTAGTTCCATCATTTGGCTATTGTGAATACTGCTGCTATGAACATTCATGTACAAGTATTTGTTGGAATACTTCTTTTCAATTCTTTTGGGTATTGACCTAGGAGTGGCATGGCTGGGCCATATGGATATGGTAAGTCTATGGTTAACTTTTGAACTACCATGCTGCTTTCTACAGCACTGCACCATTTTGTATTTCCTCCAGCAATGTACAATGGTTCCAGCTTCTCCACAATTACCAACATTTGTTATTTTCCGTGTTTTCTATTATGGGCAACCTAGTGGTTATGAAGTGGCATCTCATTTTTATTTGATTTGCATTTCTCTAATGACTAATTACATTGAACATCTATTCACGTGCTTGTTGGCCATCTCTAGATCTTCTTTGGAGAAACGTCTATTCAAATCCTTCACCCATTTTTTTTTTTTTTTTGAGACAGAGTTTCGCTCTTGTTACCCAGGCTGGAGTGAAATGGCACAATCTCAGTTCACAGCAACCTCTGCGTCGTGGGTTCAGGCAATTCTCCTGCCTCAGCCTCCTGAGTAGTTAGGATTACAGGCACGCGCCACCATGCCCAGCCAATTTTTTGTATTTTTAGTAGAGACGGGGTTTCACCATGTTGACCAGGATGGTCTCGATCACTTGACCTCGTGATCCACCCGCCTCAGCCTCCCAAAGTGCTGGGATTACAGGCGTGAGCCACCGCGCCCGGCCCCTTCACCCGTTTTTAAATTGGATTATTTGTGTTTTTCTTGTTATGAGTTCTTTATAAATTCTGTGTACTAGACCCGTATCGGATATGTGATTTGCAAACATTTTCTTCTGTTTTATAGGTTATCTTTTCCCTTTCTTTCTTTCTTTTTCTCTTCTCTCTCTCTCTCTTCTTTCTTTCCAGGTGCCTGCCACCACGTCTGGCTATCTTTTCACTTTCTTGATACCATCCTTTGATAGACCAAAGTTTAAAATTTTTATGAAGCCCAGTTTATCTGTTTTTCTAAGCAACCACTGCAAAATCCAAGGTCAGGAAGATTCACCCCTAGGTTTCCTTCTAATAGTGTTATAGCTTGATCTCTTACATTTAGGACATTGATCCATTTTGAGTTAATTTTTTGTATTAGTATGGAGTAATGGTCCAACTTCATTCTATCCATTTCTTGCAGCACCATTGGCTGAAGAGATTATTCTTTCCAATTGACTGGTCCTGGCTCTCTTGCGAAAATTCAGTTGGCCACATATGTATGAATTTATGTCAAGACTCTCAATTATATTACATTGATTTATATTGTGGGGATCGCTCCTGCAAGGCATCCTTGACAGGACCCTCGCCATCTTGAGCTTGAGCCCATACACGTTTCTCCTCTCCTGGAGGCTGTTGAGCTAAGAGGAAAAGAGGAAGTCTGGTTGCACTGATTTTATAAACATCTATCTTTGCCTCTGACATTTGCAACAGGATGGCTGAGCTCAGGCTTTGTGGTCTAACGAGACATTGTGTGGGTAGACATTGTGTGCCTCCTAGTTCCTTCTCTGCACAATAACTGTATGACTTTGTTTACCTCTGCTAACTCAATCATATTGTTTGCATATGATTCTACATGAATAGGCAAGGTTAGAATTACATTTGGAAAGGTCCAACTGTACCTTGTTAACGATCTTGCTTGCTTGACTGATTTTAGATAAACATATGTTTAGATATATGACCCCCTTTTTTGCAAACTTTATTGTCCCTTTGCTGTACACCCTATGATTAAGAGTCATACTTTCTGTACCCCTTTTCTTGTGATTTTTGTTCTTGATTTTATTTCAAGATACAATGGAATGTACGTCACTCCTTAAACACTAAAAAGTATATAACCTATGGTGTGCACAAATAAACTTGCTGCTCTGGCATTGCCTGACAGTCCTCTAGACCCCACTGTCTATCTATCTTTTCTTCCGCGCACTCCCTCTTCCAGGTTGAGAACATTTGAGTGGGGCTGAGGCTCTCCGCTGGTTGGAAGCTCCCCAGCAGATATGCCGGACCCCCACATTATATAGCCTTTATCATATTGTGAAATTTCCCTTTTATTTTTATGTTGTTGACTATTTTTAATCATGGAAACGTGTTAGTCCTTGTCAAAGGCTATCCTTATGGCAATGCCACACTGTATTAATTTAATTTAATTTTGTTTTATAGATAGGGTCTCCCTCTGTCACCTAGGCTGGACTGCAGTGATGCAATCAAGGCTCACTGTAGCCTTGAACTCTCAGGCTCAAGTGATCCTCCTGCCTCAGCCTTTCAAGTAGCTGGGACTGCAGGTGCACCACTACACCTAGCTAATTTTAAAAAATTCTTTTTTTTTTTTTTTTGGTAGAAACAAGGCTCACTATTTTGCCCAGGCTGGTCTCAAACTCCTGGGCTTAAGCTTCAAGCTATCCTCCCACCTCAGCCTTCCAAAGTATTGGGATTACAGGCATGAACCACTGGGCCCAGCCTGACACTATTTTATTTACTGTAGCTTCATAGTAAGCTTTGAAATGGGAAAGTGTAAGTCCTTCAACTTTGTTCTTTTCAACATTGCTTTGGCTATTCAGGGCTCCTTACAATTCCATAGGAATTTTAGGATTTGGCTTTTCCATTTCTAAAAAAAAAAAAAAAAAAAAAAGGCCATCATTGGGATTTTGATAGACATTGCATTGAATGTCTAGATTTGTTAGGGGAATACTGCCACCTTCATGGTATTAAGTCTTCCAAATGAACAATGAACACAGGCTGTTTTTTCATATATGTAAGTTCTCTTTAATTTATTTCAGCAGTGTTTTGCAGTTTTCAGGGTATAAGGTTTACACCTCCTTGGCTAAATTTATTTTTTAGTATTTTATTATTTTTGTGGAACTTAAACAATTTCCTTTTGGACTGTTCATTTCTAGTGTATAGAAATGCAACTATTTTTGGCTGGGCACTGTGGCTCATGCCTGCAATCCCAGTACTTTGGGAAGCCATGCTGGGAAAATCACCTGAGCCCAGGAGTTTGACACCAACCTTGGCAATATAGTGAGACCCTTTCTCTACAAACAAATAAAAAAACTAGATGGGCATGATGGTGTGTGCCTGTAGTCCCATCTACTCAGTAGGCTGACATGGGAGGATCACTTGCACCTGGGAGGTCTAGGCTGCAGTGAACCTTGATGGCATCACTGCACACCAGCCTGGGCAACAGAGCTAGATCCTATCTCAAAAAACAGAAAAAAAAAATACAACTGATTTTTGGGTGTTGATTTTGTATTCTGCAACTTTACTAAATTTGTTTATTAGTTCTCATAGTTCCTTTTGGATATGAATTTTTTAGGATTTTCTGTGTATAAAATTATATCATCTGCAAATTGAGATAACTTTATTTCTTCCTTTCTTATTTCAATTATTTTGCTTCTTTTTCTTGCCTGATTGTTCTGGCTAGAACTTTTTTTTTTTTTTTTGAGACGGAGTTTTGCTCTTGTTACCCACACTGGAGTGCAATGGCGCGATCTCGGCTCACTGCAACCTCTGCCTCCTGGGTTCAAGCAATTCTGCCTCAGCCTCCCGAGTAGCTGGGACTACAGGCGTGCGCCACCATGCCCAGCTAATTTTTGTATTTTTAGTAGAGGTGAGGTTTCACCTTGTTGACCAGGATGGTCTCGATCTCTTGACCTCGTGATCCACCTTACTCGGCCTTCCAAAGTGCTGGGATTATAGGCGTGAGCCACTGTGCCCGACCTTCTGGCTAGAACTTTTATTACAAGGCTGAATGGCAGTGGTGATGGTAGCCATACATATATTGTTCTTTTTTTTTTAATTTTAATTTTATTTATTTATTTATTTATTTTTGCATCTCTCCCTCCCATTTCACTTATATTGCTCTTGATCTGCGGGGAGAGATTTTAGTCTTTAACGATTGCTTATGATATTGGCTGTGGGTTTTTCTATATGTGCTCTTAATTATATTATGAAATTCCTTTAATTCCTATTTTGTTTAGTATTTTTCTCATGAAAGGATGTTGGATACTGTCAAAGGCTTTTCTGCATCTGTTGAAATTATCCTCAGATGTTTTTCTCTATTCTATTAACGTGATATATTATATATGATTTTTTTCATGTTGAACTACCCTTGCATTCCTGGGATAAATATCAGTTGATTATGATGTATAATTCTTCTAATATTCAGTGGATTTCATTGGCTAGTATTTTATTGAGGGCTTTTGCATCTACATTCAGAAGGATATTAGTGTGTAATTTTATTTTCTTGTGTTGTCTTTGGTTTTTGTATTGGGACAATGTATGCTGGTCTCATAGGATGAGTTAGAAAGTCTTCCTTTTTCTTCTATTTTTTGGAGCAGTTTGAGAGGATTTGGTGTTACTTTTTCTTCAACTGTTTGCTAGAATTCACCATTGAAGCCACTTGGTACTGGGTTTTTCTTTGTTGGGAGGTTTTTGATTACTGATTCAATCTCTTTACCTGGTATAGGTCTATTCAGAATTTCTCTTTCTTCTGGAGTCAGTTTTGGTCATTTATGTCTTTCTAGGAATTTGTCTATTTCATCTAGGTTCTCTAATTTGTTGATATATAATTGTTTGTGGCATTCTCTTGTAATCCTTTTTATTTCTGTAAGTTTGGTAGCGATGTCCTCACTTTTATTTCTAATGTTAGTAATATGAGTCTTCTTTCTCAGTCAATCTAGCTAAAGGTTTGTCCATTTTAAATATTTTTAAGAGAAAAGGATATGAAAACTATGTATTTGGGCACAAAAACGCAATGAGCCCTAAGAAACCATATTCTGTCAATTATGACATTCTGTAATCTAGGAACACAGAAAATTTTGTTATTAAGACATGCCAGGAGGAAAAAGAACTCTGTAAAGTCCTATTCAGTTTACTTTGTTAGGGAAAAGGATGTTTATTTGGCTCTTGTCATAGTTCTATTATGTCTACTATCCTTCTTTTTTTTTTTTTTTTGAGACGGAGTTTCGCTCTTGTTACCCAGGCTCGAGTGCAATGGCACGATCTCGGCTCACCGCAACCTCCGCCTCCTGGGTTCAGGCAATTCTCCTGCCTCAGCCTCCTGAGTAGCTGGGATTACAGGCACACACCACCATGCCCAGCTAATTTTTTGTATTTTTAGTAGAGACAGGGTTTGACGGTGTTGACCAGGATGGTCTCGATCTCTTGACCTCGTGATCCACCCGCCTCGGCCTCCCAAAGTGCTGGGATTACAGGCTTGAGCTACTGCCCCCAGCTTTGTCTACTCTCCTTCTAAGTTCAGTTTCAATTCTATCTAATTCTTGATTCGCTTCTTCAATTTTCTCTTGAGCAAGAGATGGATTAGGTATTAAGTCTAAAAAGGACTTCAATTTTTTCTTCAAAGGTATAGTCTATTATAATTTTGCCAGTTTCTCTGACAATGCTACTAGGGACTGATGAGACAGAGAAGCATCTATGCCTCTGGCTGAAAGTTGCTCCTCTGCAGCTTTGATTCCAAATCTGAATTCCTCTGACTTTGCTTTTAGAAAGTCCATATTCTGATGATGATTATCACCTTTGGCCCTTTCTGTAGAAAGAAGCAACTCAGCTTTCTTGAAATCCTCTTGTAGACATTTTTCTAATGCTAAAGTTGCAATTAGATTTTTTTCAAGTTTTTCCAGTTCAATCTTGATTTCTTCACTTTTGGATTTGGTATAAAAGACATCAGAGGTCCAATCATTCACTGCAGAGATAAAACTAGCTAGTGGGGTCTCCTTTGTTTCAAGGGCCACCACACTGTCAACCAAAGCATTCATATACCGGGAACCAGTGCTAGACTGGCAGGGGAAAACTTCACACTCTCCATGAGAAGATCTTGAAGATACTTCTGACTCGTATTCACTTGCTTTCTGCTTCTAGTCCTCTATTATCAGATAGACATCCCTGTCCCGGACTGTGTTGTGTTCCAAAAGGTGATATAAAATCTCTGTGGTCCATGGGTTCACCTCATACTGTGGAATGGGGTGATCTTCAAATTTTTTTTTTTTTTTTTTTGAGACAGAGTCTCACTTTGTCGCCAGGCGCCAGGCTGGAGTGCAGTGGCACAATCTCGGCTCACTGCAACTTCTGCCTCCCGGGTTCAAGCAATTCTCCTGCCTCAGCCTCGCGAATAGCTGGGACTACAGGCGCCCCCCAAGACGCCCAGCTAATTTTTGTATTTTCAGTAGAGGCGAGGTTTCACCATGTTGACCAAGATGGTCTCGATCTCTTGACCTCGTGATCCACCCGCCTCAGCCTCCCAAAGTGCTGGGATTACAGGCGTGAGCCACCGCGCCGGCCCCCGCTCCTGCCCATTTTAAAATATTTTTCAAGAAATCAACTTTGGTTTCATTGATTTTCTATTATTTTATATTCTCTTTTTCATTTATCTCTGTTTGGATCTCTATTCTTTTCTTTATTCTGTTAGCTTTGAGTTTATTTTTCTCTTCTTTTTTTGTTTTTTTCTAGTTTATTTTTTTGAGGTGTCTAGTTAAATTATTGGTCGCAGAGCTTCCTTTTCAATGTAGGCATTTACACTTACACATTTCTCTCTGAGCACTACTTTTACTTCATCCCGTAAGTATTGATATGCTGTGTTTTTTGTTTGTTTGTTTTTTTAAAGATGGGGTTTCACCATGATGGCCAGGCTGGTCTTGAACTCCTGACCTCAGGTGATCCACCCACCTCGGCCTCCCAAAGTGCTAGGATTACAAGCTTGAGCCACCGTGCCTGGCCGATATGTTGTGTTTTTGTTTTCATGCTTCTGAAAGTATTTTCTGATTTTCCCTGTGATTTATTTTCTGACCCAGTGGTTGGTTGATTTCTACGTATTTGTGAATTTTCCAGTTTCTCTTCTGTTACTCATTTCTAGTTTATTCCACTATGGCCAGAGAAGATACTTGGTGTGATTTTAACTTTTAAATATGATTAGGCAGGGCGCGGTGGCTCAAGCCTGTAATCGCAGCACTTTGGGAGGACGAGGCAGGTGGATTACGAGGTCAAGAGATTGAGACCATCTTGGTCAACATGGTGAAACCCCGTCTCTACTAAAGATACAAAAAATTAGCTGGGCATGGTGGTGTGTGCCTGTAATCCCAGCTACTTGGGAGGCTGAGGTAGGAGAATTGCCTGAACCCAGGAGGCGGAGGTTGCGGTGAGCCAAGATCGTGCCATTGCACTCCAGCCTGCGTAACAAGAGCGAAACTCCATCTCAAAAAATATATATATATGATTGACACTTGCTTAGTGGCCTAGCATATGGTCTACCTTGTGGAATGTTCTGTGCATTTGAGAAGAATGTGTATTCTGTTATTTTGGGATTGAGTGTTCTAAATATGTCTTTTAGGTCTAAATGATTTAGTGTTACTTAAATCCTCTACTTCCTTATTGATCATTTGTCTACTTGTTCTGCTTAGTATTGAAACTGGGAAGCTGGGTGTAGTGGCATGCACCTGTAATTTCAACTACTCAGGTGGCTGAGGCAGGAGGATTGCTTGAGCCTAGGAGTTCAAGACCAGCCTGGGCAATATAGTGAGATCTTATCTCAAAAAAAGAAAATGAAAATAAAGTAGAATACTGAAGTCTCCAATATTCTAGAACTATCTATTTTCCCTTTGTTTCTGTCAACTTTTGCTTCACATAGCTAATGTCAGGTGCATACATGTTTATGTTTATCTTTTTGATGAATTGAACCTTTTATGAATATATAATATGCTTCTTTGTCATTTGTAACAGTTTTTGACTTACAGTCTATTTGATGTGATATTTACATAGCCACCAAGGACTCTTTTAGTTGCTATTTGCATGGAATATCTTTTTCCATTTTCTTACTTTTAACTTATTTGTGTCTTTGAATCTAAAGTGGGTCATGGCTGGCCATGGCAGCTGATGCCTATAATCCCAACGCTTTGGAAGGCCAAAGTGGAAGAATCATTTGAGTCCAGAAGATTGAAACCAGCCTGGGCAACATAGTAAGATCCCATCTCTACCAAAAAATAAAAATATCTAGATATGGTGGCACACACCTGTAGTTCCAGCTACTTGGAGGCTGAGGCAGGAGGATCACTTGAGCCTGGGAGGTTGAGGCTGCAGTGAGCCTTGATCACATCACCATACTCTAGCCTGGGCAACTGAGTGAGACCTTGTCTCTTAAAAAAATAAAGAAAAATGAGCCTCTTGTAGACAACACATAGATAAATTATGGGCTTTTTAAAAAATCTATTCTTCCAAACTCTGTTATTTAATTGTGGAGTTTATTCCATTTACCTTTAAAGTAATCGCTGATAACAAGGACTTACTTCTGCCATTTTGCTATCTGGCTATATATTTTTTTTCTTAAATCTTCTAATATTGCCTTTTGTATTAATTGATTTTTTGCACTGTGCTGTATTGATTTTTTTCTCATTACCCTTTCTATATTTTTTTCCTTCTTTTTTACTTTTTCAGTTTCTTTCCTCTGACGGGATACAAGACACTCAGTTGCTTGAGTTTTAAAATGATATTTCCTTTGTCCCAGTTAATGAGCAATAAAGATTAATATGTAAATCCATTTGGCCAATTGAACAGGGGTTTTTCCCCATATTTTAAAAAGTTCTTTTTCTATTGGCCGGGGATAGTGGCGCAGGCCTATGGCCCTAGCTACTCAGGAGACTGAAGTGGGAGGATTGCTGGAGCCTGGAAGGTTGAGGCTGCAGTGAGCCGTGATCATGCCACTGCCCTCTAGCCTGGGTGACAGAGTGAGACTCTGTCTTAAAAACAAAACAAAACTGATTTTCCTTGTGGCCACCTTGGAGATTACAGTTAATATCTTAAATTTAAAACAATCTGTCTAGGCACGATGGTATACACCTGTAATCCCAGCTACTCAGGAGGCTGAGGCAGGAGGATCTTTTGAACCCAGAAGTTTGAAACCAGCGTGGACAACATAGTGAAACCTCATCTAAAAAAAAAAAGCCAGGTGCAGTGGCTCACACCTGTAATGCCAGCACTCTGGGAGAGTGAGGCGGGCAGATCATGAGGTCAGGAGATCGAGACCATCCTGGCTAACACGGTGAAACGCTGTCTATACTAATAATACAAAAAAATCAGCAGGGCGTGGTGACACGCACCTGTAGTCCCAGCTACTGGGTAGGCTGAGGCAGGAGAATCAGTTGAACCCAGGAGGCAGAGGTTGCAGTGAGCCGAGATCACACCACTGCACTCCAGCCTGGGCGACAGAGCAAGACTCTGTCTGAAAACAAACAAACAGAAAACATCTAGCAATCTAGCTTGAATTAATACCAATGTAGCCTCAATATTTATAAAGATTTTATCCCGTATATCTACATCTTTTCTTGTTATGTTGCAAATGTCACAAATTATATCCGTATACATTGTATGCCCATTATCATAGGTTTACAATTATTATTTTATGCATTTGTTTTTAAAATCATATAGGCAAAAAAACAGGAATTACAAACCAAAAATGCAATAACACAGGCTTTTATATTTACACATGTAGTTACCTTATTGTTCCTTATTTCTTTATATGGCTTCAAGTTACATCTAGCATTCTTTCATTAAAGGCTGATGGACTCTCTTTAGCATTTTTGGTAAGGCAAGTCTACTAGCGAGGAATTACTTCAGCTTTGATTTATCTGGGAGTGTCATAATTTTGCCTTCATGTTTGAAGGATACTGTTGCCAGATATATAATTCTTGATTGGCAGGGTTTTTTTTTTAAGCACTTTAAATACCATTGTATCTTGGTATCCTTTTGGGGATTGGTTCCAGGACCCCCCTGCAGATATCAACATTCACAGACATTCCAGTATCTTACATAAAATGTTGTGGGCGAGGCACAGTGGCTCATGCCTGTAATTCCAGACTTTGGGATGCCAAAGCAGAAGAAGGATTGCTTGAGCCCAGGAGTTTGAAACCAGCCTGGGCAACATAGTGAGATCGTCACTACAAAAAAATAAAAATTTTAAAAGACTGTAAAAAAAAAATAATAGCTACTTGACAGGCTGAAGCAATAGCTTGAGTCCAGGAGGTGAAAGCTTCAGTGAGCCATGATCACACCACTAGCCTGGGTGACAGAGCAAGACCTTGCCTAAAAAAAAATACTAATAAAAATAGCCAGGCGTTGGCCGGTCGTGGTGGCTCACGCCTGTAATCCCAGCACTTTGGGAGGCTGAGGCAGGTGGATCACGAGGTCAAGAGATCGAGACCATCCTGGTCAACATGGTGAAACCCCTTCTCTACTAAAAATACAAAAAATTTGCTGGGCATGGTGGCGTGTGCCTGTAACCCCAGCTACTCAGGAGGCTGAGGCAGGAGAATTGCCTGAACCCAGGAGGCGGAGGTTGCGGTGAGCTGAGATCGCACCATTGCACCCCAGCCTGGGTAACAAGAGTGAAAATCCGTCTCAAAAAAGAAAAAAAATAGCCAGGAGTTGTGGCTCATACCTGTAATCTCAGCACTTTGGGAGGCCAACACAGGCAGATCACTTGAAATCAAGAATTTGAGATCAGCCTGGCCAACATGGTGAAACCCTGTCTCTACTAAAAATACAAAAATCAGCTGTGAGTGGTGGTGCACGCCTGTAACTCCAGCTACTGGGGAGGCCGAGGCAGGAAAATTGCTCAAACCCGGGAGGCGGAGGTTGCAGTGAGCTGAGATCACGCTACTGCACTCCAGCCTGGGTGACAGAGCGAGACTCCATCTAAAAAGAAAAACAACACCACACACAAAATAAAACTAATAAAAATAAAAAATAGAATGTTATAATACCTGCCCAAAACCTACGTACATCCTCCCACATACTTTAAATCATCTCTAGATTACTTATAATTCCTAATACAATGTAAACGTTGTGTAAATTATTGGTATACTATACTGTTTAGGGAATAGTGACAAGAAAAAAATCTGCACATGCTCAGTACAGACAAAATCATTTTTCTCTCAAATATTTTTGATTCACGCTTGGTTGAATCCACAGATGCAGAGCCTATGGATATAAAGGGCCAACTTTATGTTATCTCCATGGTTTCTGGGGATAAATCTGTTTTTAGTATTATTGAAGATCCATCGCACATAATAAGCTGCTTCTCTCCTGCTGTTTTCAAGATTCTCTCTTTATCTTTGTGGGGTTTTTTGCTTTCTCTCTCTCTCTCTTTTTTTTTTTCAAAGACGGTATTCTTTATATTCACGGAAGCCTTCATTTTGTTATTTTGGTGGTTAGCCAGTGACCTAACATATAATTCCTTAAATTCCTGGGACCAAAAAATAAGTTTTGTTTTGTTTTTTAAAAAAGAAGAAAAAAGAAACAAAAAGAAGAAAGAAGAATATTAAAAAAGAAAAAAAAAGGAAGGAAGGAAAAAAGAAAAAATGCTCCATTTCCTTGCAGATTGGCTCTGTATGGAGTCACTCCTAAGCTTAGCCAGGCACCTTACAGCTCTGTTTTAGCCTTCACTTCCTGCTTGTGCTGAGCCCAAAGACCAGAGATGAAAGTTTATTGCCTTATTGGGCCTGTTCTGCACATGAGTTTTACCCTGGGTGTGCTTTCTAGGCTTTCTAGTACACATGGAAACTTTTTGAAGCCCTTATTCTCCCAAAAATATCACTTTCAAATTTTTCCCAGTTTTTCAGGGCATCAATTTTGTGCCCCAACTGTTATTTTTGCTCCAGGTAGCAGTGCCTTGTTCTTTTGTTCATCAGCAATTTTCAGGAAACAACCTCTGTGTAGCTGCTCTGCCTTGAAAGAGTTCTGAGACAGGTGAAGCAAAGAGAATTCCCTTTCATCAGTTCTTTGGGGGAAACTCCAGACAATCAAAAAGACAAACACAATTCATTGGGAACAAGATCTTCTCTGCTTCCTCCCTAACTAGGAATCCCCACCAGAAATTTGAGCTGCTGTCTTTAAGACTAGCTCTGTGCTGGGGAAGGGGTTGGAGCTAGGGTAGGTTAAAACACCGGGCCAGGCGTGGTGGCTCATGCCTGTAATCCAAGCACTTTGGGGGCCAAGGCAGGCAGATCACTTGAGGTTGGGAGTTCAAGACCAGCCTGACCAACATGGTGAAACCCCATCTTTAAAAACAAAACAAAACAAACAAACAAAAAAAGCACCATAGAGATCTCTTCCATATTTAAGTTGCCTTTCTCCTGGTTAAGCATTGGTTGCTGTAAACCTCTATCTTTCAGAGTTAAAGTAAGGTTGTTTCTGGCCATTTTTGCTAGGTGTTTTTGGGGATGGATGGATTCTTGGAGTTCTTTCACTGATGTCGTCTTCTTTTGCCCATTTTAAAATTGGGTTATTTGTCTTTTTATCGCTGAGTTGTAAGAGCTCTTTATATATTCTGGGTACAAGTTACTTGTCAGGTACACAATTTAAAATTTTTTAGCATAATGTGCTACAGCTGGAACCTGAGCAACGCCATTTTATAAAAAACAAAGCTGTTTTCCAAAAATAAGTTGTAACGGCTGCTAACCTTGGCTTCTGTAAATAAAACTGCTTACCTTTTCTTATCAGTGACTGCCAGAATTGCTGGCCTTTGCTTACCAGTAATGACCAGAATAAGCAGCCCAAGTTAATTCCATCCTGGCTCCTGCGACTTGTAATAAGTAACTAAGATCTGTGGATTCCACCACTGCCCAGAGGATGTGTAAACTAACGCTTATCTTGACCTCTGTAAACCACTTAGGTAACAATCGAAGTGACAACAAGTCCCCTAGTCCTTGGAATGTCTGGAGACTGGCACCCTCCTCTCTGCCTGGGAGGTGATTTACGGAATCCCCTGACCTTCAGAATATCTGAATCCCTTCACCCCCACCTCCGCCCCACACGCTCACCCCAGAGGTGGTTTATGGGCATAAAAGGGTCTTGTCACCCTCCTTTCGGGGCCACGGGCTGGAGAGATGTGAGTCCTCCGTGGTCGCCGGCAATCAAGACCCTGCAATCTGGCATACTTTTGTCTTGGTGTTAATTTTATAATCTCACATTTCAATACTTCAATGAGAATGTATTACTTCTTTTTTTTTTTTTTTTGAGACAGAGTCTTGCATTGTTGACTAGACTGGAATTCTGCCCTCTGGGTTCAAGCAATTCTCCTGCCTCAGCCTCCCTAGTAGCTGGAATTACAGGCGTGTGCTACTACACCCCGCAACTTTTTGTATTTTTTGCAGAGATGGGGTTTCACCATGTTGGTCAGGCTGGTCTCAAACTCCTAACCTCAAGTGATCTTCCAGCCTTGGACTCCCAAAGTGCTGGGATTACAGGCGTGAGCCATCATGCCCGGCAAGAATGCATTACTTCTGTAATTTAAAAAATAATATTAATAAAATAAAGATCTACACAATGTTGCGGGTCTGTCAAGTGATGCACAAACGTTTCTGGAAATAGTCGCCCTTTTTATCAGAGTGTAATTCTGTCCAATTTCTTTCCCCATCCACCAGAGGATATCACCTTTCTTCCTCTCTCCCTCTTGCACAGACTGCCCCCTGCTGCGGGTGTTGGCTGGTGAAGTTGTTGGTGAGGAGGCGGAGGGCTCTTTGCCCTGGATTGTCTCACGGCTCTTGGAAGGAAACAACTACGGTGGCCTACTTCTTCGTCTGGACCCTCAAGGTGGCCAGAGGAGAGTGTGGGGTTCTTTGGGAAGCTCTGAGATCTGTCCTTGGGCCTGCCTCTCCCATCACCCAACCAGCCTCAGCCCCAACCCCAGCCCGGAGAGAGAGCCTGACCCTTCAGGGAGTGTCTAGGCTGACAGAAACTGGAAAGGCAAAGCAAGGTCAACGGTGAAAGTAACTCCTCACTCTTCAGAGGCCTTACACCATTTCCCAAGCATTTTTGCACAAAAGCCTTTGATTTTTACCACAACCCCATGAGGCACATATAATTTACAAAAGAGAGACAGGCCTAATCTATAGATGAGGAGAGAGAGGATAAGAGAAGGGAAGGGAATCTCCTATTTTCAAACACGCATTAAAAATCAAGCCTTAGCTGAGCACAGTGGCTCATGTCTGCCTGCAATCCCAGCATTTTGGGAGGCTGAGGCAGGTGGATCACTTGAGGTCAGGAGTTGGAGACCAGCCTGGCCAACACGATGAAACCCTGTCTTTACTAAAAATACAAAAATTAGCTGGGCATGGTGGTAGGCACCTGTAGTCCCAGCTACTTGGGAGGCTGAGGCAGGAGAATTGCTTGAACCTGGGAGGCAGAGGTTGAAGTGAGCTGAGATCATGCCACTGTACTCCAGCCTGGGAGACAGAGCAAGACTTCATCTCAAATAAATAAATAAATAAATAAATAAATAAATAAATAAATAAATAAAGCCTCTGTGTCCCTAATGTAGATGCTAGAGAAAGAAAAGAAAAAAAAAATCAACCCTCTGAAATATGATGTCAGGGATTTGGGGGAGGTTATGGTGGGAGTATTGATCAACGGAAATGGCATGAGTTGATAACTATCAAAACTGGGTGACAGGTAGATGGCATTTCCTATACTTTGTATATGTTTGAAATTCTCCATAATAAAAGAGTAAAAATATGCCTGGCTCTCGTCCCCAAAATCAACACACATTCATTTGGCTAGCAAGTTCCCAGACCTTCCCCTGTGCTAGGCCCCTTGGAATGAGGAAGATAAGTTAGAGCAGTTCATACCCACAAGGATAAAGCAGTGAGGGCCAGACGTGTTTATCTTCAGGCCAGTTTGGTATCATGATGAAGGGCATGGGCTTTAGTTTTAGTTCTGCCACTTGCCAAGAAGTGGCTTGACCTCTGTGAGCTTCCATTTTCTCATCTGGAAAATGTCAGGGGAGGCAGGATAGATGAGAGCTTTAGCCTGATTGGAGTGTTGTGTGGATAAAAGAGGCAATCCATGAACAGCCTTAGTGAAGTGCCGTCAAGCACATGTAAAAGCCTGGTGGGGGTTAGATATTTTTATGAATAGTTCTAATAAAAACTAAACGTATTATAGGCAGTGTGCTTTGGAGTCCACAAGAAGGCGTAATTCACTTGGAGTGTCCCTTCACTAGGTAGCTCCCTGAGTTTGCTCCAGGCTGCTCTGCTGGGGGCCTCAGGAAGAAGGATGCAGGTGAAACAGGTGAGACCCACCCCGTGGGATGCAGTAGAAGACGCTCGGGCCCGCCTGGCTGGCCTGAGGCTCCTGCGTTTAGGCCTCCTTGGGGACACCCTAACGGACAGTGGGTTAAGCCAGCTGGTCAGGGCACTGTGGGAGCTACAGGTAAGCAAGGTGAGGCCTGAGGGCACCTGGGCCAGCCATGGCCAGTGCCTACCTTGAACCCTTTCTCCATAGGTGGTAAAAGGGTGGAGCCAGTGCCCAAAAAGCCAGATGCTCAAAGGAGCCAGAACTGATGCGGTGGGGCTTCCAGAACTACAGGTGTGTCTTCACATTCACCCCCTTTTTTTTTTTTGAGACAGAGTTTCACTCTTGTTACCCAGACTGGAGTGCAATGGCACGATCTCGGCTCACTGCAACCTCCGCCTCCTGGGTTCAAGCAATTCTCCTGCCTCAGCCTCCCGAGTAGCTGGGATTACAGGCGCACACCACCATGCCCGGCTAATTTTTGTATTTTTAGTAGAGACGGGGTTTCACCTTATTGACCAGGATGGTCTCAATCTCTTGACCTCGTGATCCACCGCCTTGGCCTCCCAAAGTGCTGGGATTATACGCGTGAGCCATCACGCCCGGCCTACATTCACCCTTTTAGGAGCCTCGTTTGTGTCTGCCTTCCTGTCATCTTTCCAGAGCACTTTGAGGAAGACCTCCATCCATTCATTGACTTACTGATTCCCAAACACTTATTGACCACCCACTGTGTGCTGGGCACAGTGCCACACAGGCCCTGAGAATTCCCTGTCGTCATGGAGCTTATAATCTCCTGGGAAGAAACAATTACACCACCATAATCGGTGCTCTGAAAGGCTTATAAACAAAGAGTTCTGTGGGACATCTAAGTTAGCCTTGGCAAGGAGAGAAGGAAGACTTCATGGAGGAAGCGATCCCTGAAGGAGGTCAATAAAGATGAGTGAAGAACATTGCAGGCAGAGAGAATGACAGGCAAAGACTCAGAGGCAAGAAAGTGCTTGGTCCCTTGGGGAAGTGCAAGCAGCTGATTTATTGGAGAACAGAACGTGAGGAAGAGTCAGGAGGGAATGACTGGAGAGGGCAGCAGGGGGCAGGTCATACAGGGCTTTGTAAAACAGAGACATTTGGACTTTGTCTTAAAGGTCACAGGTGAGCCACAGAAGTATTTTAAGCAGGAAAGATAACACTGTGCCCACTTTTCAGATGAGCAAACTGAGGCTTCAAGAAAAGATATGAGGCCAGGCACAGTGGCTCATGTCTGTAATCCCAGCACTTGGGGAGGCCGAGGTGAGCAGATCACCTGAGGTCAGGAATTCGAGGCCATCCTGGCCAACATGGAGAAATCCCGTCTCTACAAAAATACAAAAATTATCCCTGTGTGGTGGCACACGCTTGTAGTCCCAGCTACTCAGGAGGCTGAGGCAGGAGAGTCTCTTGAACTTGGAAAGTAGAGATTTCAGTGAACCGAAATTGTGCCATTGCACTCCAGCCTGGGCAACAAGAGTGAAACTCCACCTGAAAAAAGGAAAAGATAAGAAAGGAAAAGGAAAGATGTGAGAGGGCTGGGCATGGTGGCTCATGCCTGTAATCCCAGCGCTTCAGGAGGCTGAGGTGGGTGGATCACCTGAAGCCAGGAGTTCAAAACTAGCCTGGCCAACATGGTGAAACCCTATCTCTACTCAAAAACACAAAAATTAGCCAGGCGTGGTGGCGCATGCCTGTGGTACCAGCTACTCAGGAGGCTGAGGCAGGAGAATCACTTGAACCCAAGAGGCGGAGGTTGCAGTGAGCTGAGATTGCACCACTACACTCCAGCCTGGGTGATACAGTGAGACTCTGCCATAAAAAAGAAAAAGAAAAGATGTAAGACCTATGAGCCTGGGTCACAGGCGTAATCAGAGGCAGCAGAAGTACCTCAAGTCCTTAGACTCCTAATCTAGTCCTCTTTCCTCTCCTTAGGCTGCATGGCCTTTCTGCTCTTCTGTGATTTATCACAGCGTGGTTGAAACCCTGCCCCTGTCCAGCCTCTCCTGGTCTTTCTCTTTTTTTTCTCATAATTGCTTACAACTTGTTTTTACAGCCTTGGGCCTTGGGAGTCAGGCATGGTAGCTCCCATTTATTGAGCAAGTGCTTACTACTCAGTGCTCTCAGTGCAGCACTTCATTTCATGCTGTTACAACTTTTATCAGCTCAATTTGATAGGGAAGAACATGGAGACTAGGGTGATCACCTGCTTGAGGTCATACAGCTAAGAAGAGGAGGGACTGGGACCTGTGATCTGTGTGATTTTCAAGCCCTGATCTTAACCTACACTGTCCTGGGAGGAAAGGTGTGGAACGGTCACTCCTAATATCTTCTCTGCAGGTGACAGATTCACCAGCAAGCCAGAGCCCATGCCTCGAGGGAGAGCCCCAGGGTGGGTCTGGGACTTGGGGGTGAGCTGGGAGTGGGAGGTCTCCTCCACCTTTAGTGTGATTAATTACATTTTCCTCTAGTGGCAGGAACAATGGCATCCCTAAGGTGTGAGCTCCACCAAAAGAATCCTCTCAGGCACCCTAAGGAACAGGTAATACCTCATGTACCCCAGGAACAACTGCAAGCCATAGGGAGAGCGAAGAGCTACAGATCCCAGCTATCGTGTCCCTGCTTACCCTGCCCCAGTGTCAGGGAGAAATAGAAGCTTTTGACAAATAAGGGACCTGAGGGTGACTGGACCCCTAAGGGAGGGCCATGGGGAGGGGCTGTTTTCCTGTTGATTGGATTAAGGGTACAGGATCCTGAGGACCATTATAGCACCTCTTGGCAGAGCCACTACCTTCCCCTCCCCACCATGGCCTCCTGAGTCTCTGCCCAAGCTACAGGCTCTTCCAGGTCAGTTAGGTCCTGGATGTTGTTCTGGAAGCAGCTCTGGTGATGAGGTTCTATTGGAAAAGCTGGGCATGCACATGGACTTCTGACCGAGCCCAGCAGGTACCAGATGTGGCCCTGTAATTCTTCTTGGCCCAGGCCTGGAGGCAGAGACTGAGGGAGCAGCACAAAATTTGGATTCAAGAGAAGCTGGAGCATTTGGAACATAAGGAGGAGGTGGCAGATGACCAGGTCAAAGGCCTGGTGGCTGAAGAGAAGGTGAGGAGGGTCAACTAAGGGTTTGAGGTTCTAATTGGTCCAGGTACTGTGCTAGGGGCTGGGAATCCATCATCAATCACAACCAACTGGTTCATACCCTCTCTCACGGCCCTTACAACCTTGTCAGGGATAGATGAGGCAATTCTCAGTGCTGAGTGATGGGATGGGGTAGCTAGGGGCTTGTGGGACCAAAAAGGTATATCTGACCCAGGCTGGAGTGGATCAGAGGAGATGGCATCTAAGCTGAGCCTTAAAGAACAGGCAGAAATCAGCCAGGGGAATTCACTGGACACTGAGCTTCACAAGGGCAGTCACTGCTCATCACATCAAGGCACTCATAGATACAACTTATTTGAACAAATTAAGAAACATAACATGGATATGTGGTGGGAGTGGGTGGAGTGGGGACGTGTTCTCAGAGAAAACAAAACAGTATGAGCAAAGGTTCAGAGGGAAGCAATGGCAAAGTGGGTCTGGGAACTGCAAATTCTCCAATCTGGCTGGAGCTGAACAGGTGTGTAGTCAGAAGCAAGGCTAAAGAGACAAGTGTGTGCCACAGCTCTGGCTTTCAACTTTACCCCAAGGATAGTTGCAAACCATTGAAAGGCATGTGCCATGTCAGCTCTGACCTACACTAGCCATGAGAATTTGGGCAAATTAGGTCACTTCTCTGATTCACTGTTGCCAAATCTGTAAGATGGCAAAGCCACACATGGTTGTTATTAGATAAAATCATACACTTGAAGTATTTAGCACAGAGGCTGGCACATGGGTGGCACTCAGCAAAGAGTATGTGTTATCACTGAAGGCCTGCGAGGAGAGGCAGAGATGGCAGCAGGAACAGATGGTGCTGAGATTCCAGCTGCAGGCCCTTCACGAAGAGCAGGACATGGCAGAGCAGGACCTGGCAGCCCTCTCTGACCTGCATGTGCAGGCCACCCGAGCTCGGACACACCATGTGCTGCAGGTGAGTGGGGTTGGAGGGCAGGCCTCGAGCTGGCTCCAAGGCTGGCCAAGTGACAGACACCTCTGAATCTGGGCACAGGTATTCCAAGCCTGGCAGGGCCTGTGGGAGAAGCGGACCCTCACCGCAGAGCATCGTCACCGCAGCCTGCTGGCTGGCATCCTGGAAGATACAATCAACCTGGCCACACAGAATCAGGAGCTCCAAGCTCAGAACCAGCAGCTTCAGCAGGGTGTAGACTAGGCTCGGGGCAGTCATGCTGGACCTCTGCCCTGGGGAGAAATCTGATCAGGAACCCTTTAGAGGTAGCTTCCTCTCTCCTAATGTTTGAGGCTCATAGAAGGGAGAGAAAGGTGAGACGAAACCAAGCTGATCCTCAGTATGGATAATTAATAACATGAACCATGTCTCATTGTTCTAGTCCTTCCTAAGTGCCTAATATTAATTTATTTAGCCTCTACAGCTACCACATATAGTAGGTACCACTTGATCCTCATTTCAGGGATAAGGCAACTAAAGCTGGGAGAGGTTAAGCAACTGCCCAAGAACACTCAGCTAAGTGGCAGAGCCGGAATTCAAATTCAAGTCTGTCCATAGTCCTACACTGCACAGCAGTGGCTCACAAGCTTCTGTATGCATCAGAACCACCCAGGGAGCTTCAAAGAAAGAAAAAGATTCCCAAACACTGCTCCCTAAGATTCTACTTTAATAGGTCTGAGATAGGCCTAGGACCCCGCCCCGCCCCTGGCCTTTTTTTTAAGAAACTCACCATGTATTCTACCATAGAAGCAGGGTCTGACATTCCCCTGGCCATGATTTTAAGACAGATGACAGGCAGGAATTGTCTGTGAGGGAGCCAGAGGGAATGGAAACCAAAACCACATTAGCTTCTAGTCTAGTTCATCCTGCCAGGCCCAGGAACCTTCTGTTCCTGACTCCGTCTGCGTTCCCCAGGGCTCAAATTTTGTGCTGCAGGGAAATTTCAAAGCTCTGTGACACGGAAATGTCTCAGCTCCAAGGAGCTCTCAAAGGAAATAAAGCCACTGGCAACAGCTTGGAGAAAACTATTTTTAGTCTAAAAGTTACCCCAGAATTAAGATACTCAGGACCCCAGAGGAACAAAATTGTTTGAGGGGAGTTGTGTAAATAGAAGACACAAGACAATCCTGGCTGTGGTTGTAGGAAGCACCCTACAGCCTAGAACACTTTATTAAGACCTTATTGCTTGTGCAGTTAAAGACACACTGATTGAGCTACAGGTTTCCTGTACCCTGTCCCAGGTCACTCTGTGCAGAGCTTCCCCAGGCTGTTGGGAGCTGGGAGACTGCTAGGCAGGGGCAAGCCCCCGAGTGGGAAGCATGATGCCTCCCAGGAGCCTCAGAGTGGGTAGCGGGATTCAAGGCGGCCCTCAGGGTGAGCAGAGAGGTCAGGAGTGTAGGCTTAAGCAAGGGCCCAGGGGCTACATTCCCTGAGATGAATCAAGCCCAGCCCTCTCTGGAGTTTCCAGAACAAAGGCTAGGTGTGGGGAGCAGCACTGTGGAGAGGGCAGGAGGCATGTCTCTAGGCATTGCTGTAACTGGGGGAAGATTGTCAGAATGGCTGGGGTAATGCTTGTATAATCTGTGGCAACTGGGCCTTCCTGCATGAAAGTGGGAGGTTGAGTATCCTTTATGGAAGAGTCATGCACCAAGGCTAGGCTGGAGTAGCCAGCTCCAGTGGCTCTACTGGGGTGACCAAAGTAGGCAAGGAAAGCCACATGTTGCCCATACCCCGTCTTCATCAACCGTGTTCATGCAGGACGAGGCAGTGAGCTGCCCAACAGGGATGGGGTCATTTCTCAGGCCTAGGTATTGATGTTATCTTTATTCTTTAGTCTGGAAGAACTTGGTTGGGGATGGGGAATGGTAAGCATTTCCTTAACCAAACCCACTCTTCGCGTCTCCTGGGGTATCTTTACATTAACCTATCTCCAGAGAATAACCTGGCTGCTCTCACTTCTCCAGCTTTTCCCAAAAGGCACTTGTTACAGGGCTGCTGAGGGGAGGGAGAAGGTCACCTGGGAGGGGGGTCTGGTGGTGGCACCCAATATACAGGGTCCAGAGTCAGGGTGGAAGTAGTCAGGGACTAGCGGCTGCCATAGTACAGGTGCATGGCCAGGCCAATGAGCAATGTGGCCAGGAAGAAGGTGGCTGTGAGCTGCAGCCGCAGCAGGACTGCTGAGAGCACGGCGTTGACCACCAGTGAGCAGGACACTACAAAGAGGCGCGTGATGCTGCTGCCGTGCTTCATGACAGCGGACATGAGCAGTCCATTTAACGCCTGGCTCAGCACTACGAGTGCTGCCCATCCTGAGAAACCTTCCAGGAGGCCTGGGCCGGGGCTGCTGCCAGCATGCAGACCTAGATTCAGGAGCACACCAAAAGTGTAGAGGAAGAGGTTCTGAAGTGCCAGGGGCAGCCGCTGTCGCTTCATGAGCAGCTCTGTGTACACTGAAGACAAGCCTGAGATGAGGCAGTACAGGATGAGAAGCAGCAGGCCCAGTGGAGTGATATGCAGGGGCATGGGGCTGGCAGCAGCTGCTGGAGGGGGACTGGGAAAGGTGTTCCCAGGAACTTGAAGGCCCCCTGCTGCATAGCAGGCTCCCGCAGTCATCAGCAGCAGCAACGCTAACCCCTGACGCACAGAGAGGCGATGCCGGAGGCAGAAGCAGTAGAGCAGGGCTGTGCTTCCAATCTTGAGATTGCTCAGCACCTGGTAGGTGCTGGGGTCCATGTAACGCTGAAGATAGATCACCAGGTTGTTGTTAGCGCCATAGAGCAGGGCTGATAGTGCGAAGGGAGCAGCCTGGCGCCAGGGTGGGGCCCCCTCAGGCCATGCTTGCCAGCCCACCAGAAAGGAGAAGGCGCATAACAGTAGTTTGGTCAGTTCAGTCAGCAGCACGGCTGAGGAGGGCCGGAAGGGCACACGGCCATTCACATGGCACAGCGCCAGCAATGGGGCATGGGCACCATACATAGCAGTGGATAGGAGTAGCATCAAGGTCCAGCGGGCCTGCCTAGGACGGCCCAGGCCCTGCATACCCCCATCCTCTACACTCATACCCACATCAGACCCTGGGTGGCCAAGGGGCAGCGGGGATTACAACACATTTGGGGAAAATCAAGTTATGAAGCCAGCTCCCTGGAAGGAGGAGCTATGGAACATCGCCAGAGAGAATAACGATCAGAGTCATCTACCAATTCTGCAGGCAGGGCTTGAAAAGCAAGGGGCTGGTGGCCCTTGAAGCCACAGTCTTGGGGCCAGTCCTATGGAGTCAAGAAGGGGAAGAAGGAATCCAGGGTGCAGGCTGCGGAACTACTGTCCACACTCTGCAGGAAGGGAGGCAAAGATAAAGGTGGCAGGAAAGTTGGAGACAGCAAATGGATGACAGCTGGGGAATCCAGATAAAGTGTCTCCACTTGCAGGTCAAGCTGCTCATTCTGTCTCTTCCATGGCACCCAGAGCTAGTCAGGCCCCTTGCGTAGCGACTGCAAATAGTCCCTTAATGTCTTCTCCACATTGGGCACAGCATATGCCTGAGCTGCGTAGATGCCAGTGCAGGTGCCCACAGCAAAACCCAATACTGCTGATGCCCTCAGTTTGGCCACCACATAGCCAGCCAGGAATCCCTTGAGGAATGGGGAGGACAATAGCGAGCCATCCTGCAGAGAAAAATGCAAAAGGAAACTCAGCTAGGCTCTTCCCTGACTCTGTTCAGGGGCTACTCAAGCTGAGATTAGAGCATTCCACCACTTGCTCCTCTTCACCCTGGACAACCGCGGTATTTTCTCCAGATTTTTCCCAAGGTTCTGGGACCAGAAAAAGAACCTAGCAGTTCTGATCACACACTCTCAGAACCCTGGGGTCAGAAAGCTCCAATCATAGAACTCTACTGCCACACAAGGTCAGAGATGCCCCTAGCCCTGCTGGTTTCTCCAGCCTCATTTCCTAGCATGCTCCCTGACTACAGTAGCCAAGCGGACCTCCTTTCACCCCTCATGTTTATAATGCTACTCCTATCACAATTACATATGCTGTTCTATCTCCCTGGAATGTTCTTTTCTCCCCTCTTCACCTACTTAAACACTATTTAAGATGTTAGTTCATGTGCCATTCAGAAAAAACTGTCCTTAGGGTGACTGAAAATAGGCCTTCAATAATCATTTGCTGAATAAATCTCTACCATTCATTCAACACTTTCAACAGCGTGTTGGGCAATAAAGCCTAAGGCAGGGGTGGAGTGGGACAGTCTTTACCTGGCCCACTCCAGTGTTGACTTCGTCTTCCACGCGTCGCTGCAGGCGTTCCAGCTGGTTCTTGAGAAATGCCAGGTCCTTCAGCTTAGGCAGAGAATCCTAGCACAAGGAAGAGGCTGGCTCCAGCAGTCTGACTCAGCCCCACCCCTTGCTCAATTCCATCAGAAGCTGGGAATTGGGAGGGGATGGGATGAGCCAGAAAGACCTTTTCCTATAAAGGCTTCCTGAGATGGCAGTGGCAAAGGAAGAAAAGCATTGAAAAGCAGAGTTCAAATGGGGGCCAGGAAGGGACTGACAGATGGGATCTGAATCAGTAACTTACATCAACCTCGATAAGCATTTTATACAGCAAGCAGTATGTAGGAAAGGTAGGAAGGATACCTAGGGGACCTTTAATTAGGTGCATCAGAAAAGCATTACTGACTCTATTATGAGCTCCTTGAAAGTCGTGACCCGTCTGTCTTGGCTACTATGTCCTAGTGCCTGACATTTTGTAAATGTGTGGGTAATGCTGAGATTCTAGACCAATGGTGAGTACTGGATCGAGGCGGCTTCCTGGACAATTTGCTTGTCTTGGTTCCTGTCTGGGCTTTACCTCTTTCTTCCCAAGGCCATTCCAAACTGAATGTGAGTGACTGGATACAAGGCAGAATGACCAGAAAAAAAAAAAAAAAAGAGAGAGAGAGAGAGAGAGAAAATATGACTGTCGGCAAGTGTGTAAGTAAATGAATTGGGTGATTCTGATCGCATATAAGTATGAAATTCAGAGTGTATGTAAGGGAGTGTTTGAATGAGGGTGATGTGAGTGTCCGTGTGATTGGAAACATCATGTCACTGGGAAGGAAATTTCAGGGGCTAGGGAATGGGGTAAAGTGAGGAGTGTTTCAGAGTGAATGTGTTTGAGTATGTGCTAGTTATTTGGGTTCGTGATGGTTCCCAGGAGGGGACATCGGGGGGATCCACGGCTCCTCCCGCCTCGTCGAATGCTCTCCCCACACCACTCCACACTGTTAAGACAGTTGACAGGAGCCTCAGAAGAAGCAAGGGACATCCTCACTCCTGAGCCGCTCCAGAGTCGCTTCTACTAGGAACTATAAAAGTCAATGAGAGTGAAGACCACGCCCGGCTGCAGATCACCCCCAAGGCCACTTACCTTGTCATCCGCCATCTTCCCCGCCGAACTTGTTGCGCAGGCGCAGCCCCGCCTCCCTAGTGCCGACTACTCCGGCCATATTTACTGAGGGCGAAGGCACTTCCGGAGCATTTTTGTAAAGGGTGAGGTGCTTTCCTACTAACCACGCCCGCCTCTCCCAGATACTTTCACGTGACCCCGTCCATCGAGTCCCCGGCTGCGTGTGAGCTTATTCACGACCGGAGCGCGATGATCTCACTCGAGCGCGCGACGCATGTTCGCCTTGGCGGTCTTTGGGCGCCTGATGAGCTCATAGTTGCGCGGTGGTGTCAGCGGGTTCGCTGGCGTTCGTGCGCCTCCCCCAGACCCACACACGGAAACACGCACCTATTCGGAGTTCCAGACGCCTGTTTACACGCACCACCCTTCGGTGGGCGGTGCGGCTCAGGCCCGCCCCCAGGACCGGCCCGTGTCCCACCCAGTATTTGTGCGGCGCCAGCTGGCCCGGCTGCCTTCGGTGCAGAGAGGCTGGGCTTGCAGGCGCAGCAGCTCCGGAGGTCACGCTGGGCGGAGAGCGGCAGGGGTTATGCTGGGCAAGGATTACATGCTGGCCATCATTCTGGTCAACTGCGATGGTGTGCACGGACGGGCCCAGTGGGAAGACCAGGAGCTGAGGGAGGACGAGGGAATGCGAAAGGCTACTCTGGGGCTCAGAGACAGGGTGGGGGATACGTCTCTGTGTAGGGACCGGGGGAAACGAATGAACCCGATCTTTACGTGTTATGCCTTCAAGATTGGGGAGCTTGGATCTTCAGCCTAAGAACTGACCCATTTTGTGGATGGAGAGTGGATTATGATAACATGTTATTGTGAACTCACAAATATGCTCCCTTTTTTTCTAACCCGGTGTTCCTGTAGATGACTTGTGGGGGGACCAGAGTCTGGAGGGGGAGCCTGGCCTACCCCCTGGCTGGAGGAAGATCCATGATGCTGCAGGTACTTACTACTGGCATGTACCCAGCGGTAGCACCCAGTGGCAGCGCCCAACCTGGGAACTAGGAGATGCGGAGAACCCAGGCACGGTAGGTGGAGTGTGAGGAGGGGGTCTGAGCCTGTGTGTGGACCTAGGTCTGCTGCTACACTGACTAACTCCCACTCCATAGGAAACGGAGGGGATTTGGGGACTGCGGCCCCCCAAAGGGAGATCCTTCTCCAGCCTGGAGAGCTCACTGGACCGGAGGTAACAGGGGTGGCCCAGGCAAAATGAAAGGTTTGGGGTTCCATGGCATTCAAAAATGCAGCTGGACCCACGGCCTGCTTTCCAGCCTAGGGTCTTGATTCTGTCCCCTGTTTTGGGTTCTGTTGTGTTACTGACTCTGTCCCATGTTCTTAACTGTTAGTATTTTGAGTTGTATTCCTTGTTCTAAGCTCTTGTTTGTAGCTACATGTTTTTCATATTCTTGGTCCTAAGCTATCATGTTCTAGACCTTGGCCATTAAGTCCTGTGTTCTAGGGTCTCTTGTCCTAGTTTGGGGTTCTGGTCTACATATTTGACTCTGCCCCATTTTGTGACTTTTATTCTTTTTTTTTTTTTTTTTTCCTTTTGAGATGGAGTCTCACTCTGTCGCCCAGGCTGGAGTGCAGTGGTCAATTACGGCTCACTAAAACCTCTGCCTCCCGGGTTCAAGCGATTCTCCTGTGTCAGCCTCCCGAGTAGCTGGGACTACAGGCACACGTCACCACACCTGGCTAATTTTTATATTTTTAGTAGAGACGGGGTTTCACCCTGTTGGCCAGGATGCGCTCAATCTCCTGACCTCGTGATCCACCCGCCTTGGCCTCCCAAAGTGCTGGGATTACAGACATGAGCCACCGTGCCTGGCCTTGGTGACTTTTATTCTATGTCCTATGTCTGGGTCCTCTGTCCTGAATTTTCCCTCAAATTCTAAGCCACACTTTATGTTCTGGTAGACCTCACAAGTGTCTCTACTATAGGAAATGTGGTCCTCTTAACAGCTCTGCTCTGTTTCAGTAACTCTCTGTCCTGGTATGGTGAAGAATCATACATCCAGAGCATGGAGCCAGGGGCTAAGGTAGTGACTTGGGCCTCAGGGCATTGGGAGGTCCCAAGGGAAAGACCAAGGGTGGGATTGGACTGAGCACAGGTCATCAAGGATGAAGGCAGGGCGTTTGTATTGTGGCACCCGCCACCTTACTCCATCCCTATTCCTGTCCCCTCTCCCAACCCATCAGTGCTTTGCAGTTCGCTCTCTGGGCTGGGTAGAGGTACCTGAAGAGGACCTGGCACCGGGGAAGAGCAGTATTGCAGTCAATAACTGCATCCAGCAGCTGGCCCAGACCCGCAGCCGGAGCCAGCCCCCAGATGCTGCCTGGGGTGAGGTAAGTTGGCTGGGCCCCACAGTGGGTTTCACCCAGGGCCCAGCAGAGGTAGTTGTCCCTGAATTGCCTATTTCCCATGGCAGTGATCTTTATCTGAGCTCTGGACTGACCTCTGTCCTTGGTAGGGCCAGAACATGCTAATGATCCTGAAGAAGGATGCCATGAGCCTGGTGAATCCCCTGGACCACAGTCTGATCCACTGCCAGCCTCTGGTGCACATCCGTGTGTGGGGCGTGGGGAGCTCCAAGGGTCGGTGAGGACTCCTACATTCCCCCAAGCGAGAGCTACTTCTCCCTCCCTACTGCAGGCTGTGATCCCCACTGATGCTGATCCCCAGTACTTGAACCCCTGGACACAGATCCTCTGATGTGGACCCAGGACTGCCTTCCCTGCCTGGTCCAGCCCTGGTTGGGGAGGGTGGGCCCAGCTCAGCAGGGACAGATGGGGGAGAGCCCGAGAGGCTGGGCTGATTCCCTTCTGTGCTCCCACATGCTTCCGGAACAGTGACAGGTGAGTGAAAACCAGGTATCCTGAGCCCCATCCCTGACCTCCCTACTCCATCCCTGCCATATCCCTAGCCTGACTTTCCAGCCTCCTGCAGGCTCCTGCCTCTAACCAGCCTCTACCCCAGCCCCATCTCTGCCCCTGCTAGGGACTTCGCTTTTGTGGCAAGTGACAAAGACAGCTGTATGCTCAAGTGCCATGTGTTTCGCTGTGATGTTCCTGCCAAGGCCATTGCCAGTGTCCTACATGGGCTTTGTGCCCAGGTAAGGGTCAGGGGTGGGGCAGGGAATGTGGGTAAGGGATTGGGTCTGAAGCTTCCAAGGTAGTTGGAGGGGTACTGGCCCTTTTACCCTAATTTCCTTCTCTCCCTATGGGTCATGCTGGCTTCATTGTGTTTTAGATCTTGTCAGAGCGAATAGGGGTCAGTGGTGATGCCTCTTGCTGCTCCCCAGATCCCATCTCCCCTGAAGACCTGCCACGGCAAGGTATGGGGAGGGGAGTTCTGCATTGCTGCATCGGGCTGCTTCAGTGCTGCTTTGTGGTTGGGTGATTTCTGGTTATTTAGAACTTTTGTGGATAAATTTCTGAGGTGTTTGGTCTCAGGGATCCCAAGTTGTGAGTTGGAGGAGTATCTATGAGTCTTTCTTCTTACAGCACCAGCTTTGACCTGAGTCCTGGCCCCATCAGAAGGGTGGAGAAAAGGGTAATTGAGAGAACTTCCAGGCCAACTTTATGTTTATATTTCAGTGGAGTTGCTGGATGCGGTGAGCCAGGCTGCTCAGAAGTATGAGGCACTGTACATGGGGACACTGCCAGTCACCAAAGCCATGGGTGAGGACTGAGGAGGCTGCATATGGTGGGCTGTGTAAGGCAAGGGAAAGGTGAATGAGGCGGGGCTCACTACCATTTCTCAGAGTCCTCCCATGGCCTTGAATGTACCAGCCTTCCCAACTCGGATTTCTAAGCCTTGCCCCAGTTATCCTGTTCCCGTATCTCTGAATCCCAAGTCAGTGAGAGGGGCCTAGACACTCCCTGCAGACTCTTTCTTTCTTTACAACTGGGAGACATGCTGGGCATGTTCCCCTAGGCATGGATGTGCTGAACGAGGCCATTGGTGCCCTCACTGCCAGGGGGGACCGGAATGCCTGGGTCCCCACCACGCTCAGTGTGTCTGACTCTCTCATGACTGCATACCCCGTTCAGGTACAAGAAGAGGGTGAAGTTGGGGGCTTTGGAGGGGTGAGCAGGGATGCTGAGGGGTCACTGCTTGCTGCCAGAAAAGTTCAGTGGGTCTGGCCAGTGCTTGGCCCTCTAGTGACTAGGCCTGGTGTGGGCAGGCAGAGGCCAGTACAGAGGAGGAGCCATTGTGGCAGTGCCCTGTGCGCCTTGTGACATTTATTGGTGTTGGCCGCGACCCACACACCTTTGGCCTCATCGCTGACCTGGGCCGTCAGAGCTTCCAGTGCGCAGCCTTCTGGTGCCAGCCCCATGCAGGGGGACTCTCCGAAGCTGTGCAGGCTGCCTGTATGGTGAGTCAGGGGTGGGTATGGGTGGGTGGGATTGCCCTGCAGCTGCTCTCCGCTATTTCCTGGGGCTCAGGGTCAGCAGCCTCTTGAGAGATCATAAACCTGGGCTGATTCTGGTTCATTAATGTTTTGGCCCTCATGCTGTTTTTAGTAAGTTTTAATTAGTTGCCAATACTTACAGGCCAGGACATTTCACATAATAATCACTATCTTCTTTTTGTTAAAATATCAAGAGCTCTGGTACTCGGTTCACACGTATAAATGTCAACATGCAGCCAGAATTGTGCAGAAGCGGTGCTCTAAAGAGTGGACATTGTTGATCCTGTTTGTCTTATTTAGGTTTATTTCCTGGCACCTGTGGGCATTTGAATGTGGGTTGCTTACACTTTGTTAGTTCAGTTCACTCATTCATTCAACAAATTTGAGTGCTTACAGGGTCCCAGGCACCATAGTTGACCCTGAGAATTTAGTGCTATAAAGGGCACAGTACTTGCCTTCACAAAACACTTAGGATAGAGCCAAGAAAGACCAGAAATAAGTTGTACACCACTGGTTGATGGAAGAGGTGGCCCTTTTAGGGGTCAGGAAGAGCTGATAGAAAACCAAGAGTCCAAGAAGGAAGTTAGTCAGGTGAAAGGGAGTGGAGCAGGTGTGCCAAGCATGGGAGCCTTAGCTGTGAAGGTGAGAGTTATTGGTGGATGAGAGTATCTGAAAGAATCTAGTGTATCTGGCATGCAAGGGGGATGTAGTGAGAGATACCAGAGAGAATGACAGAAGCCAGGTTATGGGGAACCTCACAGGTCAGGGTGATGAGTTCATCTGGAGGCACTAGGAATCATTGAAGCTGGACAGTGAAGTCAGGTTTATGAATTAAGATGACCACTTAAGCTATAGTATGGCTAAAAGATTTGGAGGACACAAGAGAGGAGGTCGGAAGGATAATTAGGACACTTTTGAACCTTTCAGATGAGATGACTGGGGGCAGGTGCATTGGGGCTGGAGTTTGAGTTGTATACCCTTACCCTTGACTAGGGAATCTGCTTTGCCAGGGACTAGCCCACAGCAGTGAGAGATGGAAAAGAGGCAGCATAGTGGTACATGTAATTGGGAGTTCAGGATCTGCAATCAGAAAGAACTAAGTAGAATGCCATTTCTGCCTTTCTCTGGCTGTGTGACCTTGGGCAAGTCATATAGTCTCTGAATCTCAATTTCCTCATTCACAAAACAGGGATAACGCCTCATAAATAACTTAATTATACAAAGCACTTAGCAGTGTCCAGCCTCCTTAAGTGCTTGATACACGTTTTATGATTTTTGAGCTACCTGGAATGCTCTAGAAACTTCACATGTAGCCAACTACCAACCTTGTTATCAGATAGAAGATTTGGCCAGTTCTCTGTCCAGCAGAAGCTTTCAGGGAGTCTAGGGGCAGAAAGTAAGGATCCTCAAATTCCCCTTCTCCCTAGGTTCAGTACCAGAAGTGTCTTGTGGCCTCTGCAGCTCGAGGCAAGGCCTGGGGTGCCCAGGCCCGTGCCCGCCTGCGGCTCAAGCGGACCAGCTCCATGGATTCCCCGGGAGGACCCCTGCCCCTCCCCCTGCTCAAAGGAGGGGTTGGCAGTGCAGGGGCAACCCCTCGAAAGCGGGGTGTCTTCTCTTTCCTTGATGCCTTCCGGCTGAAACCCTCTCTGCTCCATATGCCCTAAACTTACCTGGGAAGGCTGGGGAAGGAGGCTCTAGGTCCATGCCTAACACTGTACCCCTTTATTCCCCAAGGCCTGTAGCCTCTCACCCCTTGGAGCCTTCTCTGCCTGTCCCTCTGATCCTTGTCCACCATCTATTTATTGCCCAATTTATTGTTTATATGGATGACTGGGAGGCACTGCCCCACAACCTAGGACCCTGGCTCCCCTTTCCTTGGGTCCTTGTGTTCCTTGCCCGTCCAACCATGGACAATTGGCTCTACCTCAGTAACACTTTATAGCAAAATCAGTGCAAATAAAAATCCCTCAGTGACCTCACTGGGTATGAGTATATTGGGCCTGGGACAGGGCTGGGGGCTAACAGCCTGTGTGAGATCAGTGTCTTTGTGTCTGTGCTTGATATTGGTGGCTCTCTGTAGTCACATGACCAATATAGGTGTGATGGAGATCTGATGTCATTCATTCAACAAACATATTTTCTAAGGACTTCTCTGTGCCAGGCACTAAGCTAGGCGCTGGGGATGTAATAAAATAGTCAGGGTCCCACCTGAGACTGTCAGACAGGGAGATGAACAAGAGTCAAAACAGATGTGATGTAATTCAACTAGGACATCTCAGAGGGTTGTAGGGTTGTGGCAGCTCAAGTGAGACACTTAACCTGGCCTGAGACATTCCAGAAGGCCTCCTGAAGAACTGACATCTGAGCTAAGTACTGAAGGAAGATGAGTACTAGTGAAACTACAAGACGTGAATATGTAGATTGTGCAGGGCAATGCACAGAGGAGACTGAAGAAGTCAACCTTGCCAGATCACAGTGGGGCGTATGTGGGTAAGTACTGAAGGAAGATGAGTACTAGTGAAGCTACAAGACGTGAATATGTAGATTGTGCAGGGCAATGCACAGAGGAGACTGTAGAAGTCAACCTTGCTAGATCACAGTGGGGCATATGTGGGAGCGTCTGGTTGGTTGAACTTGCTCAAGTGAGGAGCTGGCTCCTGGACAACGACCTTTGGTGCCTTGTGACCAGGGCCCCAATACATTAGATAGAGCCTTCGAGTCTTGGGGAGTTTGGCGCAGGGTTCCCACGGCGGCTCCGCCGGTTGTGAACAACCATCCACCCTCGAGTTCCAGGCAACCCGCCTGGCCCAGGACGCGGCTCACCTGGCCCTTGTGAGCGGCCGTCCCGGAAATGACGCGCTGCCCCGCTGGCCAAGCGGAAGTGGAGATGGCGGAGCTGTACGTGAAGCCGGGTGAGCACGGCCGGTAGGCTAGGGGGCTAGGTCCTCGCCCCGGCCTAGGCTAGGGGAGGTGGCGGTGCGGGGTATGGACCCTCTGTCTCCCAGCCCCAATATAAGCTAACGGTGGAGTTCTGGGCTCGCTTCACACATCCCTCGCCTCCGTAGGCAACAAGGAGCGCGGTTGGAACGACCCGCCGCAGTTCTCCTACGGGCTGCAGACCCAGGCCGGCGGAACCAGGCGCACGCTACTCACCAAGAGGGTCGCCGCACCCCAGGATGGATCCCCCAGAGGTGTGTGGGGCCCCTGTGCTCGAAGACCGGCGGAGAATGGGCGGTGTAAGGGATAAGCCTGTCCGCAAGGCTTTTTTCTCTTCCCCGAGGACTCCTTAAGTTAAGGAGAGAGGTTTTGGGGTTCCAGTAAGTGTCTCAGGGCAGGTGCTTTTCCGAGCCGCTTCTCTGCTGCTTAGATTAATAAATGGTATATTGATTTAAAAAGACTATATTTTCATCCTAGGTAATCTCATCCAGACCCCGTGGCTTTTAATATAGTTTTTATCCTCAAGTTATTTTGTTAACCTGTATCTCTTCCCAGAAGCTCATAGTAGCATATCAGTTTGTTCATTCCGTCTTCACTTGGGTATATGATAATCGTCTCAGACTTCACAGTGATTCATTTATTTAATCACTGTTATTTACTGAGCACTTAACTATGAGTCAGGCATGGTTTGAGGGCCAACTAGGTAGCAGTGAGTAAAACAGAAGATCTCTGCTTTCAGGGAGTACACGTTGTAGCACTGGAGATGGACTGAAAGATGAAATAGTGGTGAGGGTGTACAGAGAAATAAGCAGTGATGTAATATGACTGGGTAACTAGGTGTCTGAGGGGCTGACATTTAAGCCACAGAAAGATCATGTACAAGAACATTCCAAGCAAAAGAAACGACTGCAACAGGAACAAGTTTGGCCAATTCAGAGACTGATGAAATATAGAGTGGCTGGCTACAGCATTGTGGGCTATGTACACCAGGATAAGGAGTTTGTATTTTAATCTACATAAAGTTGGAAGCCATTGAAAAGTTTAAAGTAGAGGAGAGCCACCTTTTCCCCGAGAATTTTCTAGGCCATTAAATGGACTGTGCTGTGGCCCCCAGAAAGGGACTCAGGTTTGGGACTTTCAGTTGCCCTCCATTCTTCACACCCTTTTTGCTGTAGAAGAATGATACAGGGCTTGGGTTTTTTGTTTTGTTTCGCTTGTTTTTGAGACAGAGTCTCACTCTGTGGCCCAGGCTGGAGTACAGTTGGGTGATCTGGGCTCCCTGCAACCTCCACCTCCCCAGTTCAAGGGATTCCCCTGCCTCAGCCTCCTGTGTAACTGGGATTACAGGCATGCGCCACCACACCCATCTAATTTTTATATTTTTAGTAGAGATAGGGTTTCACCAAGTTGGCCAGGCTGGTCTCGATCTTCTGACCTCTTGATCCACCCATCTCAGCCTCCCAAAGTGCTGGGAATACATGACATGTGTGAGCAACGGCGCCCGGCCCAAGACTTGGTTTCTTAAACTCAGCAGTATTGATAGGTTGTGGCCAGATAATTCTTCGTGAGGGCCTCTCCTGTGTGTTATAGGATGTTTATCAGCAACTCTGACTTCCACCGATAGATGTCAGTAGCATCCACCCAGTTGTGACAGCCAAAAGTGTTTCCAGACATTTGATATGTGGGTACTATCTTCCTAGCTTGAGAACCAGGGACTGATTTACATTCTGGAAAGATCACTGTGTCTGCTCTGTGAAGACAAGATTTTAGGGGAGTGGAAAGACAAATTACAGCTATTATGGTAATAAAGGCAAGATTTAATGATTTGCATATGGGTGGGAGTCAGGGTGTTAGGAGTTGAATGGATATGAGATGGAGAAAGTCAGTAGGAATGAGTAGATATATGAGGAACCCATATAACTAAAATGTTTTGCTTGATATAGGAAGACTAGGGGATAGTGGTTTTGGGGAGAGGAGAGTTTTTTTTTGGGTGGGGGGCTCTGCTAAGTTAGGCTATTATTTTTGGGGAAAGGTCTAGGCCAGAATTAGAGAAATAAGTCACCATTATGGGGATGGTATTTGATGTCATGGGCTTGAATAAGGCCAGGGACAGAGCCCTAGGGCTTGCTAGCATTCAAGGTTGAGTAGAGAAGGAATAAGCAAAGGAGACTGAGAAATGGCCAAAGAAGAAAACAGGAGAGGCCAGGCGCAGTGGGGTCATGCCTGTAATCCTAGCACTTTGTGAGGCCAAGGCAGGCAGATCACCTGAGGTCAGAAGTTCAAGACCAACATGGCGAAAATGTCTCTACTAAAAATACAAAAATTAGCTGTGTGTGGTGGTAGGCACCTGTAATCCCAGCTACTTGGGAGGCTGAGGCAGAGAATCTCTTAAACCTGGGAGGTGGAGGTTGCAGTGAGCTGACATTGTGCCACTGCACTCCAGCCTTGGCAACAGAGCGAGATTTCGTCTCAAAAACAAAACCAAAACCTTAAAAAAAAGAAAACAGGAGAGTGTAAAGTCATGAATCAATAGTGATGAATGCTGCTGAGATATCAAGATAGAGACAAGGAACCACTAGATTTTAAAAACATAGCAGTCACTAGTGATCATAAGAGCAGTCTCTGCAGTAGTGAGAACAGAAACTCAGCTGGAATGGTCTAAGAAGAGAATGTGAAAAGTAGAGTGACTATAAACAGCTCACTCAGATTCTGCTGTGAAGTGAATATAAGAAACGGGACAGTATCTGAAAATGGAATGTGAAGTAAGGGAGTGTTTTGATAGTAATATACTAGAGCATGTTAGTATGCTGATAGGATGATTCAGGAGAGAGGGAGAACTGATGATGTAAGAGGAGAGAATTACAGTAGGGAAGTCTAGAGAAGACAAGAGGCTAGGATACAGGGTACAGGAAAGATGGTTTTTGATAGGAGCAGGAACCTTTTCATCTATTACTAGAGGAAGAAAAGTGGCCACAAACGCAGGTGGGTTAGGAGGACTGGTGATGTGAAGATGAGAGAGTTTCTGTTTAATGACCTCTACATTCTCAGTGCAGCATCAGGCATAGTCAGAAGTAGATAGCAGGGGAAGGAAGAGAAATTCTGAAGAGTGGAAAAAATGAGGCAAAATATCCAGGCAGTGTTTGGTGCCTTTTAAAATCTAGTAAAACCATGCTGATAATAAAATATCGGCATGTTTCTGTTTTTCCTCCCAAGTGCAGGCAAGTTGGGTTTAATCAGGAAAGTGTGACAATGGGAGGAGATAAAGGAGGTAAGAATATTTATAAGGGAGTGATTTTAATGTATTGAAATCAAAGTAGCTGAGCTGGAAGGGGTAGGAAGGGATGCTCAGATTTTGGAGGTGACAGTATTGTGAACAAGGCAGGGGGATGAGAGGCTGATGTATGGTGGGAAAAAATGATAACTTGAGGTGAAGAGGTCAACTGAAACAAGAAATTACTAAATGAATTAATCATCATTGTGGATATTGATACCTAAAAGTATATTTTTGACTTTTCTCCTCCAGTCTTCTTTCTGTTAGTGGTTCCCATTACTAAAGTCAGAAACTAAGTAAGAGTCAACTTGACTTCTCTCTTCCTCACTCCCAATCCACTCCTGTTGCTACTTCCTTCTAAGTAATCTCAGACTACTCAATTCCCCTCATCTACTCTTTTACCCTAGTCCACGCTAGCATTTTCTCCTTCCTGAACTACTCAACCTCCCAACTGGTGTTCCTGCCACCACTGTTGACCTGTTTCCATCAGTTTTTCACAGAGCAGGCATGTGTAAAAATAAGTCTGGTCACATCACCCCTTGCTTTTAGAAACCTGCAGTGGCTTCCCAGTACCACTGACTTAAGACCAAACTCTCCTAAAGTCCTGCCAGGTCTGGAACCCCTGCTTGCCTCTCTAGTGATACAGCTCATACTACTTTCTTCATTGATAATTTTTAGCCATACAGGCCTCATTTCTGTCTCTTGAATAAGTCAAGACATTTCCTGCTTCTTGGGTACTGTTCTCACCTTTACCTAGTACCTGTTCCTTCAGCTCTCTTTTTTTTTTTTTTTTTTTTTTTTTAAGAGTCTTGAACTGTTGCCCAGGCTGGAGTGCAGTGGCATGATTTCTGCTCACTGCAATCTTTATCTTCCAGGTTCAAGCAATTCTCCTGCCTCAGCCTCCCAAGTAGCTGAAATTACAGGCTCCCACCGCCACGCCCGGCTAATTTTTTTTTATTTTTAGTAGAGACAGGGCTTCACTATGTTGGCCAGGCTGGTCTTGAACTCCTGACCTCGTGTTCCACTCTCCTCAGCCTCCCAGAAGTGCTGGGATTGCAAGTGTGAGCCACCACAGCTGGCTCCTTTAACTCTTCATAGCTGCATCTATCCCATCCATTAGTTCTTAATTTAATAAAAACAGCTCAGTTTGTACTTTTTGCTACATACTAGTCTAGCAGCTGTATTTTTTTTTTTTTTGTAAGAGACAGGATCTTACTGTGTTGCTCAGGCTGCTCTCAAACTCTTGGGCTCAAGCTATCCTCCTGCCTTATCCTCCCAATTTGCTGGGATTAGAGGCATGTGGTACACTCAGCCTGTACCTATATTCTGAATCTTCACTGCAACCCTGTAAAGTAAGTGGCATTGTATACATCCCCATTTTAAAGAAGAGGAACCCAAACTCTGCTTGAAAGTAACTTGCTAAAAGTCACATAGCAAGTGAGCTCAGATAAACTTAAATGTACCTCAGAAGACCTTCCTTGAACACTTAGTCTAGATAGGTTCTCCCATTTTTCTTTATTACATAAACCATTTTCTTTGTAGCATGTAACATAATTTGGTAATTTTCTTGTGTTTTTTTCCTCCCTCTAGAATTAAACTCTCTAAGGTCAGAAAATTAATCTGTCTGGTTTACCTCCTCCTGAGTAGCCAGGATTACAGGTGTGTGCCACCACACTCAGATAATTTTTAAATTTTTTTGTAGAGACGAGATCTCACTATTATTCAGGTTGGTCTTGAACTCCTGAGCTCAGGCAATCCTCCTACCTTGGCCTCTCAAAGTGTTAGTATTACAGGCATGAGCCACAGCACCCACTGGTCTACTATTCTAATCTTTTAGTGCCTGGCACATTGTCTGGCATAGAGTGGGGACTTCATAAATGTGTACTTTTGAATGAATAAGTTGTCTTAGAGAGTAGGCCTTCTTAAGAGTTAAGCTTCTTACCCATTTAAGCCACGTTGCTTGATCCTGCTGTACCTTTTCAGTCCCCGCATCAGAGACTTCTCCTGGGCCTCCCCCAATGGGGCCTCCACCTCCTTCAAGTAAGGCTCCCAGGTCCCCACCTGTGGGAAGTGATCCTGCCTCTGGTGTGGAGCCAAGTTTCCCAGTTGAGTCTGAGGCTCTGATGGAAGATGTGCTGAGACCTTTGGAACAGGCATTGGAAGACTGCCGTGGCCACACAAAGGTAAGCCCTAGCACATCAGAGGTTAGAGAGGGCTCCCATCCACAGCCAAATCCAGAATGGCTCCCAGAGATAGACCCTCTGACCCAATGGACAATGGCTCCTAATCTGAGAGTTATGGACTCCTTCAGAATCTGCTAAGGCCTTCTCAGTGAAATGAACACAGGATTTCAGGAGCATTAACAAGACTTTTGAAGACCAATCAGTAGAAGGTGCTGTGGGAACAAGAGTTGAATTTAGCTCCTATTAGTGAACAACCTGATTTTCTGTACTTCCATGGCATTCAGAGCAGATGCTGCTGATTTTGTGCCCAGGAAATTTATATTGTGCCCAGTTAGGGAGAAATAAACCTCTTCTAGGTACAGTGTTTTCTTAGTTCTTAGAAAAAGAGATTTGAACAATGTCAAAAGAAAGGGAAAGTAGCATGGCAATTTCACTTTTTTGGCTCTTAGTTTTCTAATTTGTGAAGTAACACTATAAGATGAGCTTCTGAGAGTCTGAGAAGCCCCTAAAATTTTTAAATTCTAGTCACAGGAGATCCATAGATTTCATCAGCTTCTCAGTGGGGTCTCTAATCTTTGGGTAAAGAACCAGAACTCTAAAGACTAAAGTGTGGGCCAGAGAAAGCAGGTGCTTCCTATATGGTGCTGCCTTTCCCTCTCCTCCCTTCATTGGGCTGGCAGCACTGAATCGGAGGCCGTCTCTTAGAAACAGGTATGTGATGACATCAGCCGACGCCTGGCACTGCTGCAGGAACAGTGGGCTGGAGGAAAGTTGTCAATACCTGTAAAGAAGAGAATGACTCTACTGGTGCAAGGTATGGGTGGATTCTTTGGTATAGCCTAAATCCCTTGTCCTGCTGTGGTTGGCTGTGTTGGAGCAGGTGCTGAGATTATGATTGACTGGGAGGGGAGGCATGGAAGCTCTTTTACCCCAGGCTGCTTGCTTAACCCCCATCTGTCTTCAGAGCTTTCAAACCACCAGTGGGATGCAGCAGATGACATCCACCGCTCACTCATGGTTGACCATGTGACTGAGGTCAGTCAGTGGATGGTAGGAGTTAAAAGATTAATTGCGGAAAAGAGGAGTCTGTTTTCAGAGGAGGCAGCCAATGAAGAGAAATCTGCAGCCACACCTGAGAAGAATCAGACCATACCGGGCTTCCATCAGGCACCATGATCGTCGGTTCCCCAGACTCACCTGACACCATCTCCTATGCCTTGGAGGACTTCTCTTACTTGGTTCCCTCTTAGCACCAATGAGACTGTCCCACTGGGCCTGACCCACTTATGAGGGAAGAGGTCCCACCTGGGCCAGAGGGAGTTCATGTGTTACTCATAACATGCATTTCAATAAAAACATCTCAGTGGTGGGTCTTGGATAGATGAACCCTTCCTAGGCCAAGCTGGTCCCCTCTGGTGTCTTTGTGCTGCTCCCTGTGCATCTGCAAACTACTGTTTACTCTTCTCCATTCATCAGGAAGGGATCTGCTGGGTACAGCCAGACTACTGCCTACCACTTTTTCCCAAATTAAACTAAAAGCACATCCTGTGCTGGGCAGAACAGCTCTGTCTTTGGATGGTTTCATTTCAGCATGAGAACAGACTCAAATAGAACAGGGAGATTGATAAATAGGTGCTACAGAGATTAGAACCACATTGAGTGGGGTTTTTGCTGTATAAATTGAAGGAAAAAAATACCAGATTACTGAGATTTAGGATTGTAACTGACCAAACAAGCTGCTGCCTCATTTTGGGCTTCAGTGTGAACTCTAAGGTCTCCTAGAGGTGCTTGGTGGATTCTCATGCTGTGAGAAGGGAGGATACAAGGTTTTTGGTGTTGGAATAGAGGAACTGGTACTTAGAGGTGGGAAGCAGAAAAGGCATGGGGAGAGGCTGGGACAGCACCTCTTTTCCAAGAGTCCTGCTTTGGAATGGATAGGGGAGGGGCTGCTGGGGAGGCCTGGTTCCAGGAAGGCTGCTTCCTGGAAAGGCAGGAACAGCCCTTGGCAGGGGCCAGGCTACTGCTGTTTGTGGTTTGGAGGCTCATGTAACCTGCCACTGTAGTCTCTTAATTGTTGCTGGAAGTGGGCCTGGTGGGAGCTGGGAATGGACCTGGGCCCTCTGAACTTGACCAGGCCTGCAGGGCCCTCTGCTGTGTGGCTGAGATGAGAAAATCAACATTGAGGAGAACACTGGAGCCAAGGTATTTCTTTGAATGTTTACTAAGCAGCCAGAAGGCGACTTACTCCATTCCCCAGTTCCAGCCCCTGAATATAGAGGGTTTAGCGCTGGGAGAAGTACCCACAGACCGAAGAGGAAGTAGAGTTAAGGGCTTGGCAAGTTGCCCACTCCTATCCCTGGTCTATGCCTCAGAACTAAAGAGGCCTGGAACTAACAAGTCACTCCCTTCCAGATTAGATGAGGCCAGCTGGCCTTTGGATGCCCCAGGAAGAGGTGGTGGCAGCAGGGATTCCTCTGTAACTCCACACACAGGGTCATCTGCACTGGATTAGATGTCCATTTCAAATTGTGCGTCATCTGGAGAGAGAAAAGGTAGGAGCACTGGTTGCTGGTCTGAGGATCTGCAGGCTCAGCATCAGTGCAGAAACCCCTCTTGGAATTGAACCCCCACACTGTGTCACTGGGGCATTTGAAAACAGTCAAAAGGCTGGGACGATTCTTAATTCCTGCTTTCCTTACCAGGTATCTCTTCCTCTGTCTCCTGCTCCTTTAGCTCCTCCAGCTTGGAGGGTGGGGCTGTTGGAGGAGTTGTGACTCCGGGAATCTGAGGGAGGCAGCAGGGGGGTGTCCGGGCAATGGGTGAGTTCTTGCACTCCAGCAGGAACTTTCGGTCGTAGATGATCCTGGTGCCTGTCAAGGGGTTGGGACTGAGGTAAGAATCAGGAGCTTGGGTACAGAGGTGATGGGTCCCAGACTCAGGCCTTTTGGAGCCTGGAGGTGACGGGGGTGTTGAACTTTCCTGTGTATCAGAGAACATCTGCTCTGAAGCCCAGCTAGGTTCTCAGCAGACAAGCCTTCATAGTGCTTAAAATCTTCCACGCCTAACCAAGATGTGAGTATAAAGCAAGTGGGGCATCCCAGCTGGTACAGGCTATGGACTTTATGGGGCTCTATGTTTGGGGGAGCTTCAGATCTTGGCTGGAACACTAAACTTGGAGTTCTGCTACTTCATGCTCCTCCTCTACCACTCTGGAACCTCCTTGCTTTGGTTCACAATGTGAGACCTAGACCAACAGCCTCAGGTGGTTCAAGAAGTGAGAGTTGTAAAGGGTTTCACCGAGTGCTGTCACCTGGGCTATCTCCTGCAGGGAGGAACATACTGTTCTAATCCTGACCCCTCACAGGTCCTATAAGGCTCATACTAGCTCTGAGGAACTTGGCCCACATAATGTCCTCGAAGGTCCATGCCCTGTTCCTCCCTTTCGCTTCATGGTGGCAGGAATCCCTGGGTCGGGAGCCCAGCAGCTTGTGATCCCAGGCTGCTCGCCCACCAACCAACCAGACGCCACCCAGCAGCACATAAACGGAGCAACGGCCCTAAATGTTCTAGCCACCACTTCTCAAGACCCGGTGCTTCCGGCAGAGGTCACTCTCGGTTGGGGGCCCTGGCTCCTTTTCCTAGGCAGCAAAGTCGCAAGGGGTGGGAGCGTAGCTAAGACGCCAAGAACCCAGGCCACAGTGAAGGATTACAGCCCAAACACCCGGAAGCTAGGCTCTTAGCCTTGCTGCATCACTTAGAAGTTTTTGGGAACCGAGCCGCAGCTCCAAACAATCTCCCCCTAAGCTGCAAACTGTAGAGGGGCCTACAGACGAGTCCTAGGCCCGTACCTCCCTTACCCCCGCCCCTCAACAACACATGTCCGCAGTCTGCCGACCCCTGCCCGGCCCGCTGACCTCCCGGGGTAGTGGCGTATAGCGTGCCCCCCGGCGTGGTGCTGTAGCAGTCGGGCAGCTGGTCCCGGCCCCCGGGAATCGGGCAGCTAGTGGACGTTGACATAGCGAGCAGGAGGAGCAGCAACGTAACCGCCTGGCGTTGAGGTCGAGGAGCTCAGCTCTGAGTCTGAGGCGGACTCAGCCGACCACGTGCAGCCGCTGTCAACAACACTAGGCCAACGTCACGCCCAGGGCGGGCCACCGGCCCGTCACTCAATCCGACGGTCCCACCTTAACTGCTAGGAAACCAGCCCGGTTCAGAGAAAGCTGGAAATGCGTCCAAAGTCCCAGGCCCCGCACCGGTTTCCAGTTCCTGCTGGCCAACCTGCCTCTGAGTGCTGCAGCAGCTCAGTTATTTACTGTTTATAGCTGGTAGCTGGGGGCAGGTGAAGTAGGGCAAGAGTTTTTATCCTGTATTAGTTAACCCATTCCTCGCAATAGTTTTGGATAGTAAAGCACTGTGATTAGCCAAAGTCACACATCTTGTGGGAAGGGAAACTGGGATTCAAACCTGATTGCATCTGATTCCAGGACTGTGCTCTTTAGCCCAGTTGTGTACTGCTTTCCTTTTTTTTTTTTTTTTTTTTTTTTTTTTTTTTTGAGACGGAGTTCGCTCTTGTTACCCAGGCTGGAGTGCAATGGCGCGATCTCGGCTCACTGCAACCTCCGCCTCCTGGGTTCAAGCAATTCTCCTGCCTCAGCCTCCCGAGTAGCTGGGACTACAGGCGTGCGCCACCATGCCCAGCTAATTTTTGCATTTTTAGTAGAGACGGGGTTTCACCATGTTGACCAGGATGGTCTCGATCTCTTGACCTCGTGATCCACCCGCCTCGGCCTCCCAAAGTGCTGGGATTACAGGCGTGAGGCGTATAAGGTTATTTTATGTAGACACAGTGATATGAGAGGCTAGAATGAGGTGGTAGTGTTGGTACTTACTTAGCTGAAGACATATATACACTGAAAATCTTGAACTCATCCGGTTGTCCTCTGTTTGACTTCCTCAAAATCAGTACTGCCTCCACTCTCCTTTTCCCTCACCAAAAATTAAGTATAGACTACCTGACTACATCCATTTATCAATATTACCTCAGCTCTGGCTTCATCAGATTTCCCCTTAGCTCTAATTTCTTCACTCATTTAAAAAATATATTGCTTCTTAAACTATTTTTTGAGATAGGGTTTTGCTCTGCTGCCCAGGCTGGAGTGCAGTGATGTAATCTCGGCTCACTGCAACCTCTGCCTCCTGGGCTCAGGCCACCCTCCCACCTCAGCCTCCTGAGTCGCTGGGACTACAGGCACCTGCCACTACACCTGGCTAATTTCTGTATTTTTTGTAGAGACAAGGTTTCACTATGTTGTCCAAGCTGGTTTCAAACTACTGAGCCCAAGTAACCTGTCTGCCTCAGTCTCCCAAAGTGCTGGTATTATATTATATATTCTCAAACTTTTATGTGCATATAAATCATCCGGAGATAGTTAAAATGAGAATTCTGATACAGTATTGATCTGGGGTGAGATTTTTTTTGAGACAAGATCTCACTGTCACCCAGGCTGTAGTGTAGTGGTACATCATGGCTCTCTGCACCCTTAACCTCCTGGTCTCAAGTGACCCTCCCACTTTAGTGTCCTGAATAGCTGGGACTACAGGTGCATGCCACTGTACCTGGATAATTTTTAAATTTTTTGTAAAGATGGGGGTTCTCACTGTATTGCCCAGGCTGGTCTCAAACTCCTGGGCTCAATCGATCCCCCCACCTTGGCCTCCCAAAGTGTTGGGATTATAGGTATGAGCCACCGAGCCCAGCCAATTGTGGATTTTTTTTTCTTTTTTGCGACAGAGTTTCATTCTTCTTGCCCAGGCTGGAGTGCAATGTCATGATCTTGGCTCATGGCAACCTCCGCCTCCCATGTTCAAGTGATTCTCCTGCCTCAGCCTTCCGAGTAGCTGGGGTTACAGGCATGAACCACCACACCCAGCTCATTTTTTATTTTTAGTAGAGACAGAGTTTCTCCATATTGGTCAGGCTGGTCTCAAACTCCCGACCTCAGGTGATCTGCCCACCATGACCTCCCAAAGTGCTGGGATTACAGGCATGAGCCACTCCGCCCAGCCAACTTTTGTGGGGGTTTTTGTTTTTTTCTTTTTTTGAGACAGAGTCTTGCTCTGTCATCCAGTCTAGAGTGCAGTGGCACAATCTTGGGTCACTGCAACCTCTGCCTCATGGGTTCAAGCGATTCTCCTACCTCAACCTCCCAAGTAGCTGGGATTACAGGCACCCACCATCACACCCGGCTAATTTTTTTGTATTTTTAGTAGCGACAGGGTTTCACTATCTTGGCCAAGTTGGTCTTGAACTCCTGACCTCAAGTGATCTGCCTGCTTTGCCCTCCCAAAGTGCTGGAATTACAGGCATCA